CCCTAGATTATTTTTTTATATATAAATATATAATATACATCCCCCCACACTGCCAATCTCCCATTGTCACCCACCACTCACATTTCGCCAAATTTAATCCTCAATTTTACATACAGCCAGCTCAATAAACAATCCCTCTTTCTTATTCTGTCTGAAAGTCTCAGAAGCCTTCAATATGGTATATACTGGTCAATACTGTCCCTTTCATTCTTCTTATTTCCAACTTCAAGCTTGAAGGGGGTAGGCTGATTTAATCTCAACAAAATCCGTATTTCCTCTCCATCCTGCCCCCTAAACTAATAAATTTTTCTGCAGTCCATCCTGCCGGTCCTCAGTTCCATTACATCCAACTCCACAGTTTATTCTCTTCCGAGTGCTTAACGGACAGTCAATCCAGTTATTAACAATATTTTTCTATTTTTATTTCACAATACAAAGTTCCAAGCGGTGGTTCAAAATCCCTCAAGGTTGTTATTCTCCATTATCTTTCAGGCAAAGTCCTTAGTTATAAAATAAATCCACTGTAAAGAGGTATCTTTAAAGTCCTCTCTTCCCAAAAACTTTACATTCCATTGCTTATGGGGAAGGTAGATAACACAGATCCCAAAGAAAAAACATGACTTAAAATACTGCCTCCCCTCCCCTCCACTGCTCAAGCAAAGCAGAAATTAGCATCTTTCATTCTTTCCAAAACTTTCCACCTCGCCTTTTTATCTAGGATACAAGGATTCCCCACCCCCCCGCTCACAGGCAAAAAATGGCATTAACGGATGACCACGCATAGTGCCCTTTCAATACCCTTTAAAGTTCAGGGGAGACATGCCCCTTACCCCCCCCATTAATCTCTGGCTGGGACCCCACCTGGGCACTGGAGCGCCCGAGAGGGCAGCTTGCCAGGTTCGCTGCAAAATAGGAAGTCTGGTAGCCACATCTTCCTGCTACTCAGCTTTGATTTGCTCACCTTATGGTCCTGGCAGGCTATAAAAGTAAATGTAAAGGGACCCCTGATCATTAGGTCCAGTCGTGGCCGACTGGGGTTGCGGCACTCATCTGGCTTTATTGGCCGAGGGAGCTGGCATATAGCTTCTGGGTTGTGTGGCCAGCATGACTAAGCCACTTCTGGCAAACCAGAGCAGTGCACGGAAACGCCGTTTACCTTCCCGCTGGAGCAGTACCTATTTATCTACTTGCACTTTGACGTGCTTTCGAACTGCTAGGTCGGCAGGAGCAGGGACCGAGCAACAGGAGCTCACCCCGTCGCAGGGATTCAAACTGCCAACCTTCTGATCCTGATCGGCAAGTCCTAGGCTCTGTGGTTTAACCCACAGCGCCACCCGCGTCCCGCTGGCAGGCTATAACAGCAACAAAAAGCACCCCCGTAATACAATCAATGAAGAGACCAGCAAGGAAATGGAGGAAAATACAATGCCAGTGGAGAGCATTTTCCATCTCTTTCAAGGCAAGTAGCAATTCTGGTTTTAACAAAAGCATTCGTGAGACTGACACTGAGATCCAAGAAGAAATCCCAGTTATGCTTATGTGAAGTTAACCAAAATGCCCTTTAGACTGGAAAAGCGAAAAACCAAGTATGGCCAGTCTTACTTGCTTCCTTACCTTATTATCCAAGGTGAACAGTTCCGCAACGTTGTTCATAAACTGAATGAGAACTGAATGGCAAGGTCCATCTTTTCAGAGCTCAGATCCACCTTTAGCCTCATTCATATAGTGGTAAATGCTGCTGGCAGGACCCACCTTGGGTCTGGTCTGGACCCATGACCAATGTTTAACTTCTAAGAAAAGCACAACTTGCCTGTTCATTATACACAAGTCTCCCAAGTCTTGTTAATGCAATGCCTGCAGGAGTGAGTGGATGTTTTAGCAATTAATACTAGCTACATGCTGGCTCCATTGTCAATACTGGTTTCCAACCCACACGGTTATGTACGAGCTGAACAGACAGCGCATCAGAATCAATAAATTCAAATAAAATTTATTGAGTGTTTCGTTTGTGAGTTCAGTTCACAAAATTATGAAAGGAAGGCTAATCAGAAGTGACTGCCAGAGAATTGGATCTTAAACAAATAAGTATAAATTCGTTTACGAACAGTTGTGTTTAAGAAAAAATTTGCATAGGTCCTACAGCTGTGCACAAAGGTTAACTGCAAGAACATCAAAATTTACATTACCATTCAAAGTGTACAGCATCTACACTGAAAAGAATCCTTCAGTTGCAGGTGCAAGACAAACATGAAATAACTTACAAATAAGGCATGTTGCTTCTTCATATTCCAAAATAATCTGTCATAATTGTGAAATACAAGGAGCGGTACATAAAGTTGGAACGCAAGGGGAAAGTCCACCTGGCTTCCTGTTTGGAACCTCATGTTGATTAACTTTATCCAAATATGAGCCTGCACCTCTTAGTGCTGGAAAATAAAATTCTGACTGATTTCAGTAGAGGAAGCAGGTGTTTAACCGACATGAGGAAAGAAAGGTATTTACTAGAACGTTAAACGGTGTTTTTTAAAACCATGCGGTGCTAAGTAGAAAAGACTCTGTAACACACCAGGAATTGTAAAGTGTTCATTCAAATGTAGCTTTATCCTGCAGTACTGGTAACCATTTTCAAATCAGAAAAGGAAAATACAACCTAGACATTCAAATTAACATTAATAATGTAATCTGAGGATGTAACAATTTCTTTGGCGAATGAGCAAAATACTGAGAGGTGATACTTTCAGATTTCAGGTGACACTGAGAGCATTTGTTTACTACTTGTGGTTTACCAGAGACTTAACAGGCTGACCTCTTTAAAACAAGAGTTTATACAAGCAGTGCAAATCAGGTTCTGCTGCAACTAGAGACCACTCAGACTTAGAATTTGAAAACAGAAAATCAGTATCTATAAAACTTTCCTTTTAAAACAAGATTTGTATTACACTGAGGATGTACATTTCCCCCCTTTAAAATATGGTTTAAACATGTTTAAGAAAAATTTGCTTTTATAAATACAATGGCTTTCATATGCTGATACAAGTATACAACAAATAGGGACAAAGGTTGAGCTTGATTCATAGGTATTCAGGTAAAATGTTGGATGCTCTTCAAAGGCAAGAGCTAAAAGCAAGGATAATGCAAAGTTGTAATACATTCCTTTATATATAGATATATGTGTATAGTTTGGACTGCCACCTTACATTTCTGCTGAGAAAAATATTAAAAAGCTAACTAATGTATCTTTCCTTTTTTTAATATACAATCTGTGAGTAGTGAATCAGAGCAGACAAGGCACAAAAATAATACAAAGAAAAAATCAGCATTCCTAACTAATACGTAGAATGATTTAGGGGGACTGTAAAGATGATTTCATGGACTACGCAGAGAACCTTCTACACTGATCCATTATTTTAAATCAAGCCTATTTAACCATTAGGATATATGAGCAATTGTGCAGCTACAACTGAAACACAACTAGAATTCCTTCCTCTAACAATCTCACGGTAAATTCTTGGATTTTGCAATTCCTTCCCAACGGGTTTTCTTCATGCATCCCAATCGCATCTATGAATGGTTCAAATGTATGTACAAAAAAGGGAGGAAGAGAGAGAATGGCTGCTGGCTCTAACAGAGCAATTACCTATTGAACCATTCAGATACATATGCACCCCCAATCACCTCAACAGGGCTATGCTTAGTCAAGCATCTGTAACCTGTGTCCAAAGGGCTGATGTGCAGACAGTTCTACTGCCCAGTGCTTCTTGGGTTATTCCAAATGCCATCAACCAGGAAATGAGAAATATGGGGCAGGGGGGTGGGCTGGGTTTTTACTCCCCTGTTCTACCTTCTCAGCAGCTGATAAACAGTATTCCGAACAACCGGTTTGGACCATAAATTTCCTACAAAAAAGCCAAAAATCTTAATAGTAGACAAGATAGTACTCTGACAACCTCTGGCGTCACTAAACACTTTAGGGCATCTCTCATACACTACAAAAACTATGGTGCAGGATTTCCCCTCCCCCCCCTTTCTAAAGCCCTTAACTTATGCCAAGTAGTATAGTCTCAGCATCTAAATTAAATCTCTATTGTAGAGCTGATATTTTCTTCAGGGGCTACACATACGCTCCCCCTATATGGAAGAGTATCAAAGCAATTAGTATCGCAAAAGAATGGTATACAGACACAAGGCGAATCTGCTTACAACTTGAAGGTACAATGAATAGTCTCTAAAGCAGGCTTCCTCAACCTCGGCCCTCCAGATGTTTTGAGACTACAATTGCCATCATCCCTGACCGCTGGTCCTGCTAGCTAGGGATCATGGGAGTTGTAGGCCAAAAACATCTGGAGGGCCGAGGTGGAGGAAGCCTGCTCTATAAAGCATGGTATAACAGAAGTCTCTGCTGCATCAGCTGGCAAGGGACTCACCAAGGAGATCTGGGTCTTCAAAAGAATGACAATGGGCGCGCATAGCATACAGTTGAAAAGATGAGGGCAACAGATGAACAAGGCTGCTTAGGTATTCCTGTCTTCCTACAAGATGCCAAGAAGTGAGTGCTTGAGAGTGAATCACCAACAGAAGCATTCTATTGTATGGATGCACAAAGGAAATTTTCTTGTGTCAGACAAAGCGAGTTGATTCAGCCACAGGCTTGACCATGAAACTGCTGTCAGTGTCAAGTGGCCTTAAGTGCAAAACCTTTTTTATTCTTCGTTTTTTTTTGGGGGGGGGCAATGTGAAAAATTGAAAATCTCAGCTAATAATAATAATACTAAAAGTGTCAATTACCAATACGAAGGCTTATCCTGCAAGCAGTGTGATGGACATTGTGACTTGAGTGCAAAAGAACTGTGTTTTAATCATCGTCCGTGTATTTTTTGGGGGGGGGGGTGTTTTCTATAATAGACGTCTATATATCAATACACTGTAAGTGCATATATCTAATATGAACAGGAAATGGCTCTTCAATAAACTTGAGCTTTTAGCTGTTTTGAGCTGCATAATTCACAGTATGCAGCTTTTATAGCAAGACTAAGATCACACCTGAAATTTAAAAAGTGCATCTTTTAATGCCTTAGAAAATGGGCTCCTTTCGAGTCCAGGTGAGATGATTATCAATGAGCCTTCCAGAGGGGATCAAAGTATATCCACCCTTCATCCTGTAAAGAATCACAGAAATTGCAAGTCAGTCTCACTTTAGTGCCGTACAACAAATTTTCAAGAAGTTAAATACTCTGCAAAGTCCACCATAGCTTCTGCAAAGCTTGCATTTTCTGAGTCGTGATCCCAAAGTCACAATTAATCTGGCAATAAGAGCGCCATCCACACAGAAAATATTTCCTCTGATAGCCTCTCTGCAATATAGCTCCACTCCTGAGGAAGCAAGCCACTTCGCAGACTAAGGGAGCTTGCCTCTGTGAAGCTGGATCTACAACAGAGAAAGATTTAAAGAAAGATTCCCCTGTGGATAAGGTGCACTTACAAACTTGTAACTGCTGCTTAATACAGCAGTCTGCCTTGTTTTATCTCAGTGGCAGGGCAATTTTCCTACTGGGGTGTCTCTAACAGGGAATATATTCACCAGAGAATGTTATCTCGGCTCCTCTTGTTTTCTGTCTGCAAGGCTAATTGCACCTCGTGGCCAAAGCTACTCATTTATTAACCTTACTTTAAACCAGGGATGGAGGAAAGTAGACCTTCAGGTGCGGGGTTAAAAAACTCCCTGCATCCCTGAGCAGGCTGGCTGGGGATTGGAGTTCAAAAACATCGGCAGGGGCACAGATTCCTACCCCCGCCCTAAACGTTCTGTCTGAACGAAAAGATAATAGACAATCTGTTTGGCTTCCAGAAAAATGGTTTGCAATAAAACCGTCTTCTTATTGGGGGACAACAGTAATCCTGTTTCTAGATATTAGCTCTTCCACAAACCACAGAAAAATATCAAACTGAGGGGGAAATCAATGAAAGGAAAAGGAAAAAGAGACAGAAAGATGCACACATTTGGCCCTGGGCTTATTGCTTTAAGCTTGTAGTGGCTCGTGACATTTCATAGAGTTGTGCAGAACTCCATAAAAGTCTCCCTATAAATAACTGAATAAAATATTTATTGTGGTAAAAGGCATCTAATAGGTTCCATCTCGCCCATTCTATTCATCTCCTGGCTTCCTGCATTTAATAAGAGTTAATGGTTACTAAGATTAAGCAGAATAGCCTGAAAAGTAACTTTAAATGGCATCCAAAAATAGTTTGTCAAAATTCGCTCCAGTGTTGCTAAATGGGGCATTTGTCTTTCCTCCATCTTTATCTATATTGCGTGAGTCAACATCAGAGAACTTTCCAACAAGGCATGTTCTATGGCTAAGACAAATCTTAAAAATCAAAGGTCCTCGTGATCCTAACAATGCTGGCAGTGTTCAGATATCACGCTGAAGGATATCTTCCTTTAGTGAAGGAAGCTAACTGCCTCCAGGGCTTGAATGCTCTCCTCCTCTCCTTCCACACAGGGCCAGAGATCTGATGAAATTCAGAGGCAGTTACTCCCTATTTTAGTAAATATCATACGCGCTTCATGTTAACCATGGTTAGGTCCAGCAAGCCATGGTTTCAACCCATGGTTTTTGAAGTGGGTTTGCTTAAACTAGCCAAAGAGCACACAGGAGGATGCAAGGTTCATTCACGTCTTGCTAACCCTAGTTGAGCATGATGTCTGAACACAGTTGTTTAATGCATTGCCATTGTAAAAGGAGGTGATGGGACCAGTGGTGTGGGACCACTGGTCCCATCACTTCCTGGCAAATAGAAGGGGAAGAAATGGAGGCAGTGAGAGACTTTACTTTCTTGGGCTCCATGATCACTGCAGATGGTGACAGCAGTCACGAAATTAAAAGACGCCAGCTCCTTGGGAGAAAGGCGATGGCAAACCTAGACAGCATCTTAAAAAGTAAAGACATCACCTTGCCAACAAAGGTCCGTATAGTAAAAGCCATGGTTTTCCCAGTAGTGATGTATGGAAGTGAGAGCTGGACCATAAAGAAGGCTGATCGCCAAAGAATGGATGCTTTTGAATTATGCTTTTGAATTATGGTGCTGGAGGAGACTCTTGAGAGTCCCATGGACTGCAAGAAGATCAAACCTATCCATTCTTAAGGAAATCAGCCCTGAGTGCTCACTGGAAGGACAGATCGTGAAGCTGAGGCTCCAATACTTTGGCCACCTCATGAGAAGAGAAGACTCCCTGGAAAAGACCCTGATGCTGGGAAAGATGGAGGGCACAAGGAGAAGGGGACGACAGAGGACGAGATGGTTGGACAGTATTCTCGAAGCTACCAGCATGAGTTTGACCAAACTGCGGGAGGCAGTAGAAGACAGGAGTGCCTGGCGTGCTCTGATCCATGGGGTCACGAAGAGTCGGACACGACTAAACAACATTGTAAAAGGAAAAATAAAAAGCTGACTGCCACTTAAGTAGCAGTCTCGTTACCTCTTTGATGAAATATTTTGGTTTCCAGACCGTATTGCTAATTGCTCGCTGCCTTTCCTCTACTCGCTGCCGCTCCTCAAGAAGCTGTTTGTGGTCTGTTGCTGCGCTGATGTTGCCTTCTCTCAGGGCGTTTGTAACGTGTTGCCAAAGATGCCTGTCGAGTAGATCAGACCAGGACATAAAGGGAATTGGAGAGAATGAAGAAAATTGCCAGTCCGCTTTTTGGAATGGGAAGGAACCTCCTAGCCAACAGGTGGAAAACAATTGAAGCCTAGCAGCAGGGAATAGCATGCAACTCTAGAATCAGCTTCTTGTTTTTACTTTAATAATTTTTATTAAAGATTTTCTTGGTTTACAAAAGTACATGCCTTGTCTCTTTTTCGGGTTGTACAGTCTTTCTTACAGATCAGTTAAATTTGTTATGAGACATTAGTGTTGAGTCGGGGAAGAGGAGGGGTGGTGGTGAAACCTATATTATTTTTTTATAGTGTACATGTGGGGTTTTGTGTCGGCGTCAACCGAATAGGTTGTATTTCTATTCACTTGTTACATTTCCTTGGTCATGAGAGGGATTGGGGGTCCGGGGTGTGGTTGGTTGTCTGTGGCTGGTTGCAGTTTGGGTTTGTTTACATTTGGGGGGGAGGGGCTTGTTGGCTCAAGAAAGCCAGATTGATTCATATGTTGTCAGTGGGTTCTTGTCGTTGTCTTGTTGGGCTGTGCATGTGATAAAGGGAAGCCATACTTGGGGAGATGTGTCCTCTTCTATTTGTCCCTGTGTCAGTTTCTGTTTGTTGGTTAGCTTTTCTAGTTTCCCATACAATTTGGTACCAGTGGCCCATGTTTACTCCTGTCAGGTCTCTCCACTGTCTGGCTATGAGGCTTCTGCCCGCTGAGAGTAGGTGGGTTATAAGCTCTGTATAATGTGAGTGGTCATTATGATCTTGGAAAGATGTTCAGTAGGGCCAGTTCTGGGGTTAGTTCTAATACCTGTTTAGTTAATCTCTTGCATATCTTCTTAATCTTGTTTGTGTATCTCTTGTCGGACTGCTGTCCAGAAAGGTTGGATTTTGGGGCATGTGGAGGTATGTGCCTGAGAAGGTGCAGCCTCTACAACATTTTGGGCATATCAGCACCAGCTTTCGTGGTGTTAAGTACAGTTGTACCTTGGATATTGAACAGCTTAGTTGCCAAACCTTTTGGCTACCGAACGATAACCGGAAGCGAGTGTTCCAGTTTTCAAACTTTTTTTGGAAGCCGAACGTCCAACAGGGCTTCTGCGGCTTCCGATTGGCTGCAGGAGCTTCCTGTAGCCAATCAGAAGCTGCGCTTTGGTTTCCGAACATTTTGGAAGTCAAAAAGACTTCAGGAACGATCCCCCCTTTTCTCTGGGCTACCCATCATTCTCCATCAGTTAGTGAGAAAAGGAATTGTATCTGAAAATTAGTGCAGGGCGGCAACATTTGGGAACAAAATCTCTGTGAAATTTTCATGGGTGGAGCGTGCGAATGTCATTGAGCTTACCTATAACTCTTGTTTTGTCTGCACTGACTTGGCAGCAACTCTCAAGAATTTCAGACAAGGAGTTTCTTCCAGCCCTACCTGAAGATCCCAGGACTTTAATTTGGGACCATTGCATACAAGAGAGATGCTCTGCCAATGAGTTATGATGGCTCTTCCCTAAACTACAGCCCTTCTCCCAATGATATCAATGTATTATGTGACTTTTCTTCTTGCTTGTTCTGGGCCCTCCATATTAGAGGGATAAACATTCAACAAATAAAAATAACATCTACAGGAAAGCAGTTTCCAAAGAGCCTTTGTGCAGCAGCAATTAGCACAGCGGGTGGAAGAATCCCCATGCAGGCAGAATGTCAGCATGCTGATTCAGCAGACAAGTCATTGGAAAAAAACCGAAAACTTGGAAACATCCTTAGGGAAGCAAGATAGTTATGTTGCTCTTTCCACACTGCTGTACAAACAGGGACAAGTGCTTCAATATAGCCTTTCTTTTCCTGCTTCTCTTAAGCGCAACTAGTCATGATGGTTTTGCAAAAGGATCCTCACCTTGATTCAAATGGACCTTGTTTTGCTATCGGTCTGATCTTCTTGCGGATGATGGGTAGCTTGGTGGTGTCGATTATTTTGGTTTCTCCGTTGCTGTACGTAAACTCCAGCGTGCCGTTCCACTCCCCTTGTGCTTTACACACTATGGTGTTGGTGGGGTTATGCTTCACCTCAGCTGTAACCCTACATCAAAATGATAAAACATGGAGATTAAGACACAGGTGAGTCCAGAAAGGAAATCACTTGCATGCACAGCAAATATTTCCACTGGACTCAAACTCAGAAAAGGAGGCCAAGAATAATCATTTTGTTTTTTAGAAAAACCGCAACAAGAACAATTCAGAGACATTTCTGAGCTGGAGAGCACTCAAGTTGCTACATTCATTATGTATTGACCACATTCTCATAAACTTGATGTCTCCATTACAAACAAAATACCAGGGACCATTGCTCTATGCAAATGTATTGCCAATTTTGCGGCTCCTAGCTTAGTCCGGATATTTTTTTTAAAAAGAGAGGGGGCACACTAAAGAACTATCCTGTTCTTGCACAGTGTCCTTTCTTTTCATCTGATTTACTTCCCTGTGGTTGGCGCTTCACATTTCACACAGCACCCAGAGTTAAAATATGGTGATTAGGGTTGGACAATATATCAAAACCAATTTGAAGTCCATATCGTGATACCAGTCTCACAATTTTCAACCTGGTAATATAATGTAAATTATGATGTATGTGTGTGCGCATGCGCTATGCAAAAATCACGATGCAGGAAAAACTGTGCAGTCAGCCAACCCTCTCCCCCCTTATTTCAAACATTGTGATATAGCGATATGTTGCAATATATACTTGGTGATTATATCACGATGCTGGGAAAAACAGGTATCACCCGGCCCTGCTGTTCACCTCTACACAGTTCCACATCCTTATTTCAGACACTGTGATATATCGGTATATCACGATGTTTAGCTAGTGATAGATCGCGATGTTGAAAACCAGGTATCTCCCAGTCCTGATGGCGATATGGATTCAAGACCCTGTGAAGTTTCAGCCACTGAGTGCCTGGGAGTCTCCTTCAGTTCCCTAAAGCTGCAGGAAATGGAACAGCCTCAAATACGAGCACATGTTGTTGTTCTTCTTATGAAAGCATACAGAACATTGCTTGCAAAGCACATTTCTAAAGTAGTATAAAATCACTAGCAACTGCAGCATTATAAACAGTAAGCAGTTTGGCAGTTAATATTGCTTGTCTTAGTGTTTTTTTTCTTTTCCACAGAGCAATCTTTAGAAAAGAAAAATAAAAGTATGCGAAAGAGCAGTTTCAGTACCTGTGTACTTTTCCCCCATAGAAAGGCTTGGTGTGGAATGTGACTGTAGCCGAATAGCCACTCTTAGCACAGAGAATGCTCACTTTACCTCCCAGCTCCACCCAAGGAACGGTAAGAATGGAGCGAGCATAGGCACAAGGCAGCGTGAACACATATTCCTCCCCATGTTCCAGCAGATAAAGAATACCTATGGATGGGGGCAGAAATGGGGGGTGGGGATGGAGAGAAATACTTTTCAGCACTGAAAATTTGACAATATTCTTTCCAGAAGGATGATCACTGTTTACCTGGTACTGAAAAGAAGCAACATAGTTTATAGTAAATGTTATTTATTTTTATTTTCCTTGAAGGGGAGGAGAAACACCAAGACTGATATAATAGGAACGATCTCCACCAAGAATAAGATGCTTTTCGCAACTGCGCTTTTGTAAAATCCTCCTTTTCTTGGGGTAATTTGGTTTTAAAAGGCTACAAAATTTAAAACGAAAACCAGACATGACTGGTGAAGCCATTCAAGCAATCCAATCTGGTCTCCACATATCCAATCTATGTCTCAACATAGCTGCAAGCTTAAAAAAAAAAAGGTGTGTTATATTCCACCTGCCAAAGAGAAAAGTGCCTAACTTCTAAAGTCGCTCTCCTGAAAATTTGATAAAATAACGTATCTATCCCACTTCCTGCCAGCTTGGAATAAGCAGCCTACATGCAGTGGAAGTCCCACCATGAGAATGACCTATTTGCTTAGATTCAGCCAAAATGTCAGGTGCTACTTTGTCTTGAATATGAGGTGCCTAATATGGCAAAGTGATACCAACTGCAGGTAGCCTGGCAGTGCATCTAACAAGGCTCCCCTAAAACAATATTTTAAAACCCAATAGGAGCCTGCTGGATCTCACCAAAGACCCATCTAGCTCATCATCCTCATGGTGTCCAAACAGATGCCTGCCTTCTGGAGAAACCTGCAAGCAAGACTCAAGTCTTGAGTAGTCAAACCAAGAGACCCTCATACTGTATCCACCATCAGTTACCATTAACTAGAACTAACAGTATGAATTGATAAATACATTCAGCACACACAGAAAAATAAAAACACAGATTTGAGCTGGACATGTATTCTGGGATATAGTCCCAGGATCCTTGATTTGGGCATTTAATGTGAACAAATTCTTCCAAATTCCCTAGCAGAAAATCTGAAGCAGGTCCAAGTTATTGTCATTGCTTATGTGAGACAAGGAAAGCTCTCTACAAGCATCCATTATATATACTGCTAAACGTATTATTTCCGCCCCCCTTTGACCCCATACTTTTGAGCAACATGTTTTCTGCAGGTCACATCGATAAAATACACAAGGTGATGCTGTAGGTCAAAAACCATGGGTCTGCAGTTGTTTTTAGACTACAACTCCCATCATCCCTAGCTAGCAGGACCAGTGGTGAGGGATGATGGGAACTGTAGTCCCCAAAACCGCTGGAGACCTAAGTTTGGGAAACCAATTAAAGAGTTGGTAACAAAGTCATAAGGAGTCAGAATCAACATTCTCTTTTGATTCTATTAAGATTCATGCAATGAATGGTTGTGGAAGACGTCAGCAGTCTTAAGTGGTTTCCTACAAGAGAAGGGTCCTCACGCACATCTCTTATTTTTCAATCACATGGTACTCGCTTAGGCCACAACTTCAGTCACTTACGACAACCAGCAGCTACACTGATTTGCAGAACGAAAATAACTGTGAGCAGCACAGTGAATGACGCACATAGTCATATGATGGAACGCCATCATCACATGAGTATTTCCCTTCAATCCTAACAGGGACTTCAATCCCCACCAAAAAAAAAAAAAAAGCTGCATGCAAACATTAAAACCAAAATTCAGCAAACCCAGATTAAGAACAAAGCAGGAAGCTTCTTACAACCAGGAGGAACGGAATCAAACTTTCACATATTAAAAACCGTTAAAAGTTGTGCAGAATAGAAGCATGATCACTCCCCACCTATAAGCAAGCAGAGAGACTGATACCACCTGGGAAGACACTAATAATTTATTCCAAACTGCTTGTTTCCAATGAGCTTAAGATTCTGACAGTCTAATTGTATACACTGCTATCCTAGCATATAAGGATTGGACACATGAGGGCTTTCCCTCTGAATTCAAAATGAAGGCTTCTTTCACACGTTCCCAAGGAAAGAAGAGATGAGAAAATTCATACTTCCCAGCGTGAAATTAATTTCTCAACTTGGGGAGGCTTGCCATAAAGAATCTCTCGTATACTAACTTCCAATCAGCATGTTTTGTGTGTGTTTGTTCCTTTTTGGCAGACCACGAAGTAGTCTTGACCTAGAAGCAGTTGCAGATCAACCCATTATTCCAACATTCTTTATATCAGTCTTCTCCAGTGTATTTCTCTCCAAATATTGTTGAACTCCAGCTCCCATCAACCCCAGCCAACACCATTAAGGGTCAGGAATTACGGTAACTGTGGTTCAGCAACATCTGAATTGGGACGCGGGTGGCGCTGTTGGTTAAACCACAGAGCCTAGGACTTGCCGATCAGAAGGTCAGTGGTTCGAATACCTGCAACAGGGTGAGCTCCCGTTGCTTGGTCCCTGCTCCTGCCAACCTAGCAGTTCAAAAGCACATCAAAGTGCAAGTAGATGAATAGGTACCGCTCCAGCAGAAAGGTAAACGGCGTTTCTGTGCGCTGCTCTGTTTTGCCAGAAGCGGCTTAGTCATGCTGGCCACACAACCCGGAAGCTGTACGCAGGCTCCCTCGGCCAATAAAGCGAGATGAGCGCCGCAACCCCAGAGTCGGTCACGACTGGACCTAATGGTCAGGGGTCCCTTTAACATCTGAATGGCATCAGATAGGAGAGGCGAGAAAAGGCCCACAATTCTTAAGACGAGACTGAGCAAAGACAACTGTACTGTAAGAAGTAATACACAGTGAGCAGGAACCAAAGTTCAAAACCATGTTACGACCCAAAGCTCGGGACGTATTCCTAGGCTATTATGTCTGCCAGGAACCAAAAATGAGAAGCAGTGATTTACAACTTGTGTTATCGTTCCATTAGCATATTTGCGCTATGTGCTTTTAACGGGTAAGTCAGAGTATGCCATATTTACTAATATTGTAATATGTTTAATATGTATTTGAAAGAAATATATGAAAAATCAAAGCCAGGAATGTGGCATTTTATCACAGCCAAGGTGTGTTGCAAAGCCTAGGGTACGTACCGTATTGGCCCGAATATAAGCCGCAATAGCAAATAAGCTGCACCTTTAAAATTCAAGAGTGGCAGGGAGGAAAAAGGACAATACCCGAATATAAGCCGCTCCCTTAAAATTAGGTTACAGGCTGAAAATTGCTGCGGTTGGTAGAATTGTAACTCCAAGACAATTTAAGCCTTTGATCTGGCAAGCCGGCAAAAGTTACCGTACATCCGCTAAAATCGCAAATTGCTATTCAATTGCTACAATTCTGCAGGAACTCATACATGTAAACGGAAAATGTAGAAGAAAATAGTACAGGTACTATAGAGGACCTGTAAGTGAGTTAAACACCTGTTCGTAGCACCATAAATGCAAACAAAAAATCAATACCGCACTGTAAAATACGGGGAAAGCAATGAATGGCATTAGAATTAATTGCACAACAGTCTCAAGCTCGCAAATTGGCAATAAAACATTTTTTGTTCCGTTTTACCGCATGTCTGTTTCAGCAGCGCTATCGTAAAAGCCCATTTTTGTAAGGTGGCGAATTTAAGCCACACTTTAACTTTTCACGGTTGGAATTGGGGGGGGGGGGAGAGTGCGGCTTATATTCGGGCCAATACAGTAAGTCAGTTGGGGAGGAATATGAAGATCCAGAGACATAGCTCTGTTGCTGGAGCATGAGACTCTTAATCTCAAGGTTGTGGGTTTGAGCCCCACATGGGGCAAAAGATTCCTGAATTGCAGGGGTTGGACTAGATGACCCTCGTGGTCCCTTTCAGCTATACAATTCTATGATTCTGTGACCACATGCTAAATTGTTGGGACTCGTGAAAAGCTTATATAAGGGACATTTCCACTAGTTTTATTTTAGTGTCCAGAGGCTGAAAAGTACATAAAGTGCTTTGCTACTATTACTCAGAAGTATTCTTAAAGGGGGCGCAGGTGGGGCTGTGGGTTAAAGCACAGAGCCTAGGACTTGCTGATCAGAAGGTCGGCGGTTCGAATCCCCGTGACGGGGTGAGCTTCCGTTGATCGGTCCCTGCTCCTGCCAACCTAGCAGTTTGAAAGCACGTCAAAGTGCAAGTAGATAAATAGGTACTGCTCTGGCGGGAAGGTAAACGGCATTTCTGTGCGCTGCTCTGGTTCGCCAGAAGTGGCTTAGTCATGCTGGCCACATGACCCGGAAGCTGTACGCCGTCTCCCTCGGCCAATAAAGCGAGATAAGTGCCGCAACCCCAGAGTCAGCCACGACTGGACCTAATGGTCAGGGGTCCCTTTACCTATGTTTCTTAATGGAGGGTGGTAGATTTCAGGGTTTGTTTGTTTGTTTGTTTGTTTTGAGGGGTGAGGGACTTCTCTTCAATGCTTCCTAAAATCCTGTGCGATAAGCAAGCCTGCTGTAATATATATTGTATCTTTGTGGTATGTCTTACCTTCACCTACCATAGAAACACCTATAGACATCCCCATGAACTTGCTTTTGGTCCATACATGAACATTTGCGCACATCTTCTTCTCCTTGCACTCGCAGTAAAAGCAGGAGACTGGTGGGTGATGGGATACCTGTTCAGCTACAAACCGCAGCTTGTAGTTTTCTGGTGGTGGTGGCGGCGGCGCCTTGCCCTTGGGGCTTGGAGAGGGAGAGTTAGTTCTCGTCTGCTTCACTTTGTCTTTAGGCACATCCCAAGAACAATGGAAAGTTTCTCCAATAATTGGGTTGTAGGGCTTCTTGGCAACGGCTCCTTTCCGGCCTTCGTGAAAGGCTGTTAAGTAATACTCCACAAAGTAAATTATTCTTTCCTCAGGGGTGCTTCCGGACGAAACTGTCAAGAACAGGTCGGGGTGGGCCAGGAAGTTTGCGTACATCTCCAGCAGCGACCTCTTCTCCAAAATAAAGGTTGGAAGAACTACCTGTATCGAGTGCAGGGGAGAAGCAAATAATCATATATTTTTTTCCATGACTGCAACAGAGAGGAATAAACAGTTAAGGCAGCTGCAAAACTTCCTGTGCCAAAATAAACGTGCTTTTTTCCTCGCACTGCCAGAGAGCTCACTCTGAGGACTGAGAAGTGCAAATAATGAATGAAGGCAACACTCATTGCTTTGGTCAATTCTACAAGTCACTATCTATTTCGCCAGAGTCCTCGGTGGCCTCACAAGGTCACGCTATTCAAACTGCCTGGACACTTTCGTTGTCTTGCTCTGCTTAGCTAATAAGTGAGCCAATTGTTCCCTGACAGAGTTCCTTGTTTACAGAAAGTGGTACATCAGTTTGGTTCAAGTTAATTGAGTTCTACTAGCGACGTGCCAACTTTGGCAGCTGGCAGGCTGGATGTGGGTGGCACAAAGAAATCTGTATCTGGACACCGGTAGCTCTGACACATTTCAAATCAGAGCGAGGCAAAAGCGTTGCCCAGGATTCCACTCGTAAGAAAAACAAACCTGATTATAAGCACACACTGTTTCACATTAATTTTCCACCGCTCTCTAGTCTTGGCATGTAATGCTTCAGCTGTGTCAAAGAGCAGGTGTTTTGTAATGATGGCGCTCTTAATGCCTCTCCAAAACTGACATGGGGCTTCATCCAGCAGAAAGTTTCTGATCCCACCTTAATTTTGTCTCTGCCAGTTGAGGATTGGCGTTATTTCTTTTTGAGAGTATTTATAGGCTGTCTTTCCAGGTCAGACCCTCTCTAGGTGGCTTACAACATGCAAATCGCCGTAACGATGAGCAATTCTATGCCAAGGAACCAGAATGAACCATTAAAAAAACATTAAGCCCAGAGTACAACACTAAATTTAAATCAAACGCTTTAAAAAGCACCAAAGATAGCAATGGCACCACCGGTCCTAGGTAAAAGCAATGTTTAAAACAACTGGGTCTTTAAAGCGTGATGTGGCCACATCATCATATACAGGGACTGCTAGTGGAAGCGTGCAATATTCTCCTTTAGGGATGTTACAAAAGTAGAGATGGAGAAGATTTTCATTCAGTCCACATTGCCAGTAGTACAACTTCCACTGCACTTTAATATGCAGCGCAGGGCACCTTATTTGATTGATCCGGACTTTACAACAAACCTGTCCACATTAATATTTCAACTGCACAGATGGAAACACAGAGTTCTCGGTTACTCTCTCTGCGTCTTTATGGTTCAGCATTAATCTGAACCTAAGTCTCCACGGGGCCAAAGCCAACAATGGTGAAAATAACTAGATGTTTGCTTCTGCCTTCTCAAAACACGTTATCATGATTTGCCATTCTTACATCTGCACTAGCCATAAAGACACTAAATCAGGGTTGAGACATATGGAGCAGTCTGTAGGAACATGGGAACCAAGTTACTCTACCCCCATCCTCAGCCAAGCTTCAGGATTTACAGCGTGATTCTGGAGTTTTAAGAATGGCACTAATTATAATTAGCAATTTCTAATCCAAAGCAATGGTACAAAAGAGCCAGGAGAAGAGAAGGGATTTATGTGCAAGAGAGAAGGGACAGAAGGGAAAAAGCATGCAACCCAGCAGCTTGATCTGTATACCTAAACCACAGTTATGCGTCACAGCTGCACCTGGTCTAAGCATGCATACAAATATTCGTCTTTACAAATAATCTCCTTTTCAGAGACCTGCTGATATAGTGCTGTCATTACTCATAGTGCCACCCATTTTTCCTGCTCACTCTGCTGTTGTCTCTGGATAAATAGGTTTAGAAGGTTACTGAAGCACTATTGAAGCCAACATGTGTCATTCGATCAGTGAATATTAGCACAACCTAAGAAGTGTTGGGTGGCACTGTGGTCTAAACTACAGAGCCTAGGGCTTGCTGATCAGAAGGTCGGCGGTTCGAATCCCCACGACGGGGTGAGCTCCCGTTGCTCGGTCCCTGCTCCTGCTAACCTAGCAGTTTGAAAGCACGTCAAAGTGCAAGTAGATAAATAGGTACCACTGTGGTGGGAAGGTAAACGGCATTTCCATGCGCTGCTCTGGTTTGCCAGAAGCGGCTTAGTCATGCTGGCCACATGACCTGGAAGCTGTACGCTGACTCCCTCGGCCAGTAAAGCAAGGTGAGTGCTGCAACCCCAGAGTCGTCCGCGACTGGACCTAACGGTCAGGGGTCCCTTTACCTTTAAGAGGTAAAATCTACCCAAATAATTCCCTATTCTCACACACACACACACACACACACACACAGTGTATAACAATGCTATTTTGTAGGCTTCCAGGCCAGATGCAACATGGAGACAATAAGCAGCATGTGGCCGGGGCGGGAGGGAGAGAATCTGCACATCTACAATATCAATTTCTGGTAAGCAGACGCCTGGGATTTGGCAGGGCTGCCCGTGAAAATGGAATAGTAATAGCTGGGGAGAGAAAGGAGCATAAGCATCAGCTCTGGAATAATGCCCAGCATTGCCGGACTGATCTGACTACCCAACGGCCATGTGTGTGACTGATGATACTGTTTGCCAAACTGTTCTGTCTATTAACGGACAGAAATAGCAGCTGTAAGCATGCTGCAAGAATAGCTGTGTATTTTTATTTTCAACAACAATAGATGCAATATTTGTTGCACTGAAAAGGCTAAGGAACAAGGAAGCTTCAAAAAGTTTGCTGCAGGCCGATTTAGACAGACAGAAAAGTCATCAGCAAATCCAATACAGAACTGGCCCTCCCCACCCCACCAGCGATGCTTGAATTTGGGAAGGCTGCCAGCGTAATAAAGCCCTTTCAAAAGGAAACTCGGCTACATTCCTCTTTAACACCTGTGCAACACTCAGGGCTAATATTGACTTACAGAGAGAACGGAGTCAAAATTGCATGTGTCTAGGGGCCACTACCAACAATCTTTATTTACTGGGGGGGGGTGCATGCAAAGTGATCCTACTTTTGGAAGAGCATACGAGCTTACATAATGAGCAAGTCCGTCAGGAGCAAAATGCCATTAAGTTTTCTGCAGAGGAGCTCTCTGGCCAAGTCTGCACCCACGTTGCAATTTCAAGTTTAATAAGGAAAAGATCCTGAGACTGCAGGTACCAGCATTTAGGTTACATAAAAGGTGGTTTATACAAGTAAAACAGCAAGTTTTTTATTTAAAAAGTGGCACCTCTTCTGTAATAACTAAAAGCTATTAATCTCACATCAGCATCAGTGTTACGGGCTGGTTGGACGCAGAAGAATGGTGGGAGGAAGCAGCTGGGGAACCCCCAAGGGAAGAAGACTCAGAGCCCGGAGAGTGGTGGTAGGACAACAGCGAGCGGTCAGAGGAGAAGAGGGAGAAGCCTGGGGAGAGGAAGTGTCAGAAGCTGAAGAGGTAACAGGGCTTAGTGAGCAGCGAGAGTCTGTGACAGAGAGAAGTCCAAAATCAGAGGCAGAAGCTGAAGCAAGTGAGTGGGAGGAGGGAGGCCAAGAGTCAGAGGCACAGGTGTCTCACCCTCCTGCTATGAAAAGCGCAGTCTCCAATTACTTGGGAAACGTCCGGTTGAGGAGGCGAGGACTTTCAGTCTCGGCAACTGATTTTCGTGGGGGAAGACCATCGGGAATGAGCTGTTCTGCTCATTAGGCCTGACACCCAACCAAGCCTGTAGAGGTCGTGTTTTTGCTAATCAAGAGTTCGTTCCATCTTTGAACTGTGTGATGATTGACCTGGCATGCTCCTGTGACTATCAGGATACCCAGAGGTGATGCTTTTAAGGGGAAAAGTAAGGCCTGGCACAAACACAGCTTTTGATCTTTAAAATATAACCACTTTTTCATAATACAGTGGGACCTCGGGTTACATATGCTTCAGGTTATAGACACTTCAGGTTACAGACTCTGCTAACCCAGAAATAGTACCTCGGGTTAAGAACTTTGCTTCAGGATGAGAACAGAAATCACGCTTCGGTGGCGCGGCAGCAGCAGGAGGCCCCATTAGCTAAAGTGGTGCTTCAGGTTAAGAACAGTTTCAGGTTAAGAACGGACCTCCGGAACGAATTAAGTACTTAACCCGAGGCACCACTGTACAAGCAAGGTAAAGAAGGATGAATGATAGCAAGAGCAGCCCGGTTCCATTTGGTTCTGCTCCCACAGTGGCCAACCAGTTGCTTGTGAGAAAGCACGGGTCACGGGTGCAACAGCTCCCTCCCCACTTGTGATCGTCACCCAATGATATTAAAGGGCATGCTGCTTGCGAAAGGTAGAAGACAGCCTTATCTTCCATCAGCTTGTCCAAATCTCCTTTCAAACCATTCAAGTTGGTGGTCATCACAACCTTGGGAACAAATCCCATAGTTGAGTTTAGCTATTAGAAAATCCCAGAATATAAAGCAGGCTATTATCTGATGCCAAGACTGCAGTCCTAAACACCACTATACACAATAGGATTTACATTTGAGTAAGCACGGGTAGGAATGCAAGGTGAATGTGTTAAGAGCTTCCCTCCCCAAAATATAAGTGGCGTAGCAAATAAAGAAGGGCCAGACCCAATGCAGGTGGACTCTACCAAAACTGTAAGGTGGTGGTGGTGATGATTTATTATATTTATATACAGTGGTACCTCTGGTTAAGAACTTAATTCATTCTGGAGGTCCATTCTTAACCTGAGGTACCACTTTAGCTAATGGGGCCTCCCGCTGCCGCCGTGTGATTTCTGTTCTTATCCTGAAGCAAAGTTCTTAACCCAAGGTACTATTTCTGGGTTAGCGGAGTCTGTAACCTGAAGCATCTGTAACCCGAGGTACCACTGTACTGCCCTTAATCATAAGAGCTCAAGGATCTTGATAAACAAGGAACTTGTTTGGTAAACAGATGCAGGGCACACCTAGCAACCAAAGGAGAATGGACTCCTTTTACCCGTCCCAATAAAAACCCCTCCTCGTTGACTAGCTAACGGTAGATACCTTTCCATAACTCACCTGCAACTGAGAATTGTACCACCACCAACCTGGCAGCATTTTTGCATTGTGTTTAATTTTTGTTTTGGATTGTTAAAGAACTAGGAGACACATTCAAGTGGAAAGCCCCACGCGAGAGAGAAGACAAAGCAAATGAGCAGATGGGTGACCTAGACAAGGCTTCCCATGCTTCCTGTCTCATCGCAGTTGTCGCCACTGCTGATGGGAAGACGCGAAGTACACCTCGCTTCCAGTCCCCCACTGCCACTGGGAGATGGAAGGCTGCATTTCAAAACTGCAGACTTCCTTCCCTTGGCCAAGATTACAGCAGTCATTGCACAATTTGATACGAAGTGGATATGCTTAGACAAAACTGTGCAAAGCCTAGAATTCAACAGCGCAGTGACTAAAATCAACACAGATATCACACGATGAGCTTTAACGCTCTGAACTCTGCTATATTTACTAAATGATTAGGGTCCCAAAAAAATAATAATCTCCAAAGATCAATTAGGGTGCAGAATGAACCCAAATGGACCTGATTACTGATGTGTAAAGAAAGTGAAATTTAGTTTCAGTGCTTTTGAACAGATGAGAATATAGATGCTGGAGGTTTCCCTCTCTAACCCCATTATCTGTCCAATATTGTCTCTTCTCTTTTTATTTCGGCTATGTACCCAAAATGCTGAAACCCAATAAATATTTTTCTAAAATACAACACAGATCCTTCCATTGTTACCAAGGAAGAGAATTCTAAAACAATTTCACTTAGCCATATTTATTCATTCTGGCATCATCCTTAGATAACCATTCTGACTGAAAAGTTCTCCACAATGTCCTCAAACATGCAAATGAATATTTAATAATATTCTGTCCCATGATTGCCAATACATTTAATTCACAGGGAAAACACATATTTCACTAATGCCTCTGCTTCAGCTGCCCTTTATACTTTCATTTGGTCTACGAGGTCAAACTGAGAAACCATTTTCTTTTCATGCATTATTCAGGAAAGTACTCTCTCAGTGTATTAGGTTACGACACCAATCAAAGTCAGTGGTTTTTTGACCTTCCCATGTTCAGAAAAACGACATACACTCAAGACGACAACCCAATATAATGAGAGCTTTTTGCAGTACTCCTGCTATATTTCACAGGCTAAATACTCTTCATTATTTACATATAGGGATGTGGAACATTTCCTCAAAAGTGTGGACACTTGTATATTAGCCATGTCACCGGTGTACTGTGTTTGACAACTATTAGAGGCAATTTTGTTTTCTAACATGTTATAAAAAGAATGATTCAAATTAAATAATTTAGCCTTGCATGGTCAACAGATTTTGGTTGGATATGGTAGTCAGTAATTAAGATTGGTCACCGGTGCCTCACTTGCTTCCGCCTCCAAGGCATGGGTCTTCTTCCCCCTCTGACCTGCTGCTGCTATACTGTAAATATACTACAATGGGGTCCCCAACACAAACATGAAAGACTGTTCTGGTCTTTACAGACTACTCATGGGGAAGGAGAAGGTCTTCACTTTGCAGTAATTCAGGTTTGATGACCAAGTGATCCCTGTCCACGAACCACAGAAGCCAGCACACCATCCCAAGCTGCCAGAAGATGCTCACAGCCATTTCAGCAACTTGGCTTTCAGAAACATCGCTGCCCCCCCCCCAAGATTATGCGCCTGTTCTTCAGAAGGAGTGCGGCCTATCTGGAACAGACAAACAAACAAACAGGCCCCCATTCGCAGAACCACCTGCCAACTCCCATCTTACAAGGAATCAACGTAATGGCTCTCTGCCAGACTACCACCACGACCAAACACCAATACCTGCATGGCCACACATGGTTCCAGATGTAATAGAGTTAGGTATCATCTGCATACTTCAGGTGTGGTTAACATGTGAGGTCCCTTTAGGCTTGTCGTTAAAAACAACAACGACAACTGGCTGCTCCTATCCCAGTCACCCCTCACTGTTATGCCATGGTACCAAAAAATTTTTGCATCCCAGTTATTTAAAATTCAATTTAAAAAGAAACACTGACTGACTGCTCCCTGCCATGATACTGTAAGTTTTGTGACTTTCCAAGGTCCCTCAAATGTGTGCATTTAAAAAAATAATAAAAATTCTCCTGTGGTTGTTAGCCCAGAAATGGAAACAAGAAGAAATTCCGATGAAAGAAGAATGGCAGATGGAAATAATGGACTATGCAGAATTGGACAAAATGATAGGAAGGATTTGAAAATTGCGGGACCAGAGATTTACAGAAGATTGGAAGAAGTAGGTGAACTATTTGAAAAGCAATTGTAACCAACAAATTACACTAGTAGGACTACAAGAAGTTTTGTAAGGAGGAATATATGAAGTGCTACAAAGTAGACAAAGAATAGAGATATTGGTTATAAGTTTTAAATGTGACAGGGAAAATAAGAAATGTATACAGTGGTGCCCCGCAAGACGGAAAACCCGCTAGACGAAAGGGTTTTCCGTTTCTGAGTTGCTTCGCAGGACGAATTTCCCTATGGGCTTGCTTCGCAAGACGAAAATGTCTTGCGAGTCTTGAGATTTTTTTTTCGCTTCCCCCCCCTTTATCTAATCCGCTAAGCCTTTAATAGCCTTTAATAGCCTTTTAGCAGCTAATCCGCTAAGCCTTTAAGCCTTTAATAGCCGCTAAACCGCTAATAGCGCTAATCCGTTAAGCCGCTAATAGGGTTGCTTCGCAAGACGAAAAAACCGCTAGACGAAGACTCTCGCGGAACAGATTAATTTCGTCTTGCGAGGCACCACTGTACTAAGAGATTAGATTGAAAAATTTTCAGACAGGACTGATGGAAATAAAAAAAAATTTGAATACGATGTAAAAATATGTTTAATTACTGTTGAAAATGGTATGTTTAAAAAACCATATATATATATATATATATATATATATATATATATATATTTTCTCCTGTGGGATGGGTTCCTGAAACAATTCAGTGCTGCCCCCTGACCTTCAAAATGTGTCTCTTAACAAAATTTAAAACTGACCCCATCTACTTCAGCCATCTACTCACTTTAAATACGGCTCCTAGAGGGCTGCTGATAGATCAGTGAAACCCTTGCCCCCGCCGCAAAAAAGGGTTAGCCTCACCCCTGCTTTTACTTCTCCTCCTGATTTTGCCCATGAAGAAGCTGGGAGCTTCAGTATTTTCAGTCGTAAGAAACGGTGTCAAAGTGCATAGTATGAGTCAGATTGAACTGCAAAACCTCCCACAAAAAGGCAGCACGCTGTCCGCTTTTTGTAAAGCAGATCAAATTCCTTACACTCATTAAGGGAGGCAACACTTGGAACAAATGTTGCCACAGCAGATTTTGCGGAGAGGTTTGCGGCAAAGTCCAATGAGACTGCCTGTTTAATAGCATGTGACTCTTAAAGAAGGCTTTATTGATTGGAGGAAGAGGAAGAGGAGATGCATACCCTAGTTAGGTCCATTCCAAGTTTGAGTTGTGAGATGAGGTGAAGAATTACACTGCGCTGATCTTCCAGGACTCCTATATCTTCTTCTTCATTATCTTCAGTATCTGTCACCTCATCTTCAACTAGGATCAAGTCACGAGTGGAACACTGGTTTCAGGGTGGAAAGGAGAGAGGAAAAATATATAATCAGTATCACCAGCTGGACACAACAAAGAACAATATGGAGTGAATTCATATGAGCTTAATTACAGGGATCTCTTAGAACACCAGATTATTTCCAAATACTCACTCAACGTTGCTAACTGACTAGCATAATCTTCAGTAAGTTATGAACAATTACCAAATCCACCGTGCTGAGGAGTTGGACAAGCCATAAGGAGTTTGCAGAAAGAATCTGAGCATATACTATGAAGGCACCACTTTCATTTTTTTAAAAAGATATTGACATCTTACTCACTGAAAATTTTGGATGCTACACAGCAGGACAAATGTTCTACTATCACCTAGTATATCAGAGGATATAATCATTTGAAGGGCTAGGGGTCAAATAAAGAATCAGCTAGCTAAATATTTCAAGATTGGTTGAAATAGACAAAAACAAATGGTTCATTCACTATTTTAAGACTATGCATCTGTCAAAGCAAGGCTGTGATGTTCAGGATGCTCTAACTTCTGGTGTTAAAGGTTATGGCAACATTGCACAATGTGTTCATTTTTCAGACATATTGATGAGTGTTTCAAATACCAACTCCTGTACTTATTCAAGAAGAGGAGGAGGAGGAGGAGGAGGAGGAGGAGGAGGAGGAGGAGCAACTAAAGGATTCCTCGTCAAAAATGCAATAATCCGAAGCCTTTTAACTAAAAGTAACAGGATTCCAAATTTACTAAGATAAAGGTATTTCTTGTTTTCAGGAGGTTGCATGCACAGTTCGTTCTACTCAAAAGTATACTCTTACTGAAAATAAGAGATATGGTCCATTAATTGCAATGGGAAAACCTGGAGCAGAACTAGGGTTACCATATTTCAAAAAGGGGAAATCCAGACACAAAAGTTGATGAGCTTTTTAAGTTGTTGAGCTTTTTATTTTATTTTATGTTTATTTTATTTATTTAGGCCAAAGTTGTTGAGCTCCCCCTCCCCAAAAAAACTTTTTCAAAAATGACGTTTTTGAGCTATTTTTAATGAAATTCACCCAAATCTGCACTTCTGTCATGGGTTGCCATACGTCTGGATTTTCCCAGACACTTCAGCGATTTCCTCCCAGACACTGTTTCCAGCAACCAAATCCCAGCTATGTCCATGAAATTCCGGACATATGGCAACCATAACAGAACTTAGTTGGCCACAACGCAAGGAGTTTCGGGAAATGAATCATTTGGGTTAGGCCAGGTATTTCTTGAGGCTATATTACTGCTTTGGTATAAACTAGACACCATGGGAAATCTTGCCTCATTTATATTTCATTTCATAAAAGCTCAGCAATAGTTCCATAGCAGTAACTACGAAATGAACCAATAAATAATTTTTAGCAGTTATAAGAAGCAGTGTGATAAGGGAGTTGCTCTCTTGGTATAATGAGAGAACTGAAAGAAAAGGAACAGGTCAGAGAATTTAAGGTCCAGAAGAAAATAACATGTTTTACTGAATCTTTGTGACTTCACACAAAACTGAATCCATTTCTTTTTACCTCCCAAAAGCTACTTACTGAAGTTCAGTAACTTTCTAGTAGTCAAAAACACAGAGGGTTCTCTGATCTACATTAGGCATCATTATATAAGCAAGTTACAGAGGAAAAATTCGCTCAGACCCCTCAATACCTTCCAAAACAATGCATTAAAATATCCTTGCTCTCCAAGCAACATATACAGCTTTATCTGGCAATATAATTCCATTAGAAGAGTAGCTGTAACGCTGCCTTCAAAGACAGCACTGCATTAACTACATTAGCTATATCCATTTAAGCTTTGTAGATTGCAGTAGCTCTGAAAGAGTAAAACAGCAACTGTTTCCTCCTCCCTGCCAAGGCACTAAAAACCAAGGAAACAATATTCTTTCGTACGGTTATTTTACCGTACTTGATAACTTGAACGAGTGGCTTCAATTTCAACGGGATTTAAAAGTGAGCACTGCGCACAACCTAACGCTGCAATTTTATACTTGGGTGTAAACTAACATTCTGCCCAGAGTTAAACTTGCAAAGGGGAGAGGAGAAGACAGAACGGACTTATTAACGGAGCTTCAAAACTTACAGAGGATGTTTCTACTGCGGGTTTGTTTATCATCCAACTCGACCTCATTGAGCGTCCTGAGCTACATAACAGCGCTGCTGTTTTCCGTGGCTGCTGCCTAGCTCCTTTAATAACAGGCGAGCTGGAGCTAGGAATTAGTAGTACCAGGAAGAGTCAGGAGAAGCCTCCCCTCCCTGCTCTGCCCCCACCTCCTTTTTAATTTCCACTGAATTTGAAAAGCATGATGTCAAATCAGCACGAATCTGCTGCCTACCGTCCCAGTCATGTGACGCGGGATCAGCGAGCTTAAACTACAAATCACTTACAAGGGGAGAAATGATGCTGTGCTGCGGGGGCCCTGGGTCTCTTCCCCTCTGGGCACGGGAGCTAACCTTACAAAAAGAGCATCTTGTTCAGTGCTGAGAACAGGGACGGATTTCGGCTAGCAGATGTTTTTGTGTTGTTGTTTTTTTTTTAAAAAAAAATCCCTATTACAGAGGGCTTTCGTTCTTTCTTTTTTTAAACAAGATGTCAGATTCCAAGGGCCTCTGCAGAGGCGGAAGAGCTACCCTATGCCAGATTATAAGAAGCATCTTGCAATTTTGCTAGAAGTTTATTAGAATTAAAGGAGAAAGGATTACAAAATCATCCACACACACACACTCCCCTGGGAAGGCTTATATCAGGTTTCCTCAACCTCGGCCCTCCAGATGTTTTGAGACTACAATTCCCATCATCCCTGACCACTGGTCCTGCTAGCTAGGGATCATGGGAGTTGTAGGCCAAAAACATCTGGAGGGACAAGGTTGAGGAAGCCTGGTTTATATGAATGAAATGTGAGTTGCTGCCAATGAAGATGAGTTTAGGGCAGGCGTAGGCAAACTCCAGCCCTCCAGATGTTTGGGACAACAATTCCCATCATCCCTGACCACTGGTCCTGTTAGCTAGGGATGGTGGGAATTGCAGGGCCTATGCCTGGTTTAGGAAAATGCATATAAAGCCATCAGTCGAGAGCCACTTCATACATTGTCCCCACAAACTTGTGTGTGCAGCCATAGTCTGTATCCAACGCATTAATCATGAAAAATATGCCCCTAAGCACAAACCTGTGAGGCTTCTGATGAAGTGTGTGTGTGTGTGTGTGTGTGTGTGTGTGTGTGTGTAAAAAGTAGAGGTAAAGCTACCCCTGACCGTTAGGTCCAGTCAAGGATGACTCTGGGGTTATGCACTCATCTCGCTCTATAGGCCGAGGGAGCCTGCGTTTGTCCGCAGACAGCTTCCGGGTCATGTGGCCAGCATGACTAAGTCGCTTCTGGTAAACCAGAGCAGCGCATGGAAACGCCGTTTACCTTCGCGCCGGAGCAGTACCTATTTACCTTCTTGCACTTCGACGTGCCTTCAAACTGCTAGGTTGGCAGGAGCAGGGACCGAGCAACAGGAGCTCACCCCGTCGTGGGGATTCGAACCGCCGACCTTCTGATCAGCAAGCCCTAGGCTCTGTGGTTTAGACCACAGCACCACCTGCATTTATTATGTACTACATAACCAATCTATATAATTGCATATTAGTGACCTTGAATGGGGAATGATTCTTACACAAAAGGTAGTATTCCTCTTTTTTTAAAAAAAAAATTACAAACCTAAAACTAAACCAGTTATATATAACCAGATTTCAGAAACTTCTTCCACAGCCACTAAATGGTGCTTGATGCAACGATTTAAGCTAGATTAGTTTGCAGTGGTGTCTACCAATCCACAGCTCACTGTGTTTATCCTGAACACTGTATTAGTGTGTACAGAAAAAACATCGCAATGATTATCAGTATAATGTCACCTTTTCCAGAGGACACTCCAGTAAGTGACTGATCAATTTACTATTATGTTCTATAGAGAGGAAAATTATTGATAGTTTTAATGCACTCTGTCCTTGCTCTAAGTAACGATCAGGCAGTATGACCTATTGAATTTGTCAAAGCACATGGTCAATGGCTGTGTGTTGCGCTCTCAAAGAGAAACCAACTCATTAAGATCCTGTTAAACTCATATCAGACAGCGACGGCACAACCCTAGAAGTGTCTCCTCAGAAGTAAGCCCTACTGAGTTCAACTTTACCTCCAAGTAAGCAAATACCACCCACAGCCCAAAACACACACCTAAGGCAATTTTTCTTTTTTAAAAGAGGGTTTTGCTTCTAATTGTAATTACTTGCATGTAATTACTTGGCCAACAGCATGGCCAACAGCCAGGGATAATGGGAGTAATATGATCCAATAAATAAATTCTGAATGGCCACAGGTTCCCCTATCCTTAATTTAATGCGACACATTCAAAGTTTTCTAAGTGTAAAGAAGATCTTCAGTTAGCCTGCTGTTCTTTATCTTCTTTTCGTAAGTTGACACTAAAACGTTTAGACAATTATAATAATAGATTGTATATTTAGCACTCTTACAAAAAGGATTCTGATCCCCTTTTTAGCATTCTTCTAATGAACAATGCTGGTGGCCCAATTCAAATACGTGATATATTGTGGTTTCAATTCTATCTAAGTTTCCTTCCAGCATTTTGCACCAGTATTAAACTTGAACAAATGTAAACAACAGACAACGACGTATTCTAGAGCGGCCAAAAAGGGGGAGAAGGGGAGGCCAAGCAAGTCTAGTCCCCTAAATTCTGCATGTAACCATGCGTTAAAATGGGCCGTTTCCTTGAAATTTAGTATCAATGTCCACCAGGGTATAAACAGGCAACACAGTGTAAACCTGCAATTAAAATTTCGTGGTTTCTTTATTATGGCCAGATTCTCCCCCAAAAAACAAACCTGCCTTGTTCTACTCTTTCAGGGAAAGGTAAGGGCTAATGGCTTCTATTTCTCAAGCAGCAGACTTTTGTGAAACATGGCAAACTCATTTTTTTTAAAACTAAGGAGACTTTTCAAAAGCAGTTTCTGATATGGGTGTGTGGTGTTCAAGTCAAATGTTCCAAACGGATATGCTCAAGGCCTTGGATGCACCTAAAGTACCTCTTTGGATCCTGGCCAATAACATTTGGCAACGCTGGGATGGCAAAGAGAGAAAGATCAAAACTAATTACAATGTTCGTTTTGAACACATGGCAAATCTCAAGGACAACGCATCTTAATCAGAGTTGGTATCAAATAAGCAAGAAACAGGCCAGCACCAAATGGAGTTGATGTGAATCAAAGCAAGCAGTGACCCTTATAGGTTTGTCCTTAATTGAAAAGAAAGAAAGAGAAAAGACTTAAAATTATTGCTGCAGCTAACTTTGCTGGGTCTAGTTTAAAAAACCCGACAATACTAGAATCCCCATGGTTCACTGCAGGTTTTTGAAATTTGCAGACGAGAGTGAACACTCAGAACCTTAACGGATCAGCCTTAAATTTATACCCAGTCCAGTATTCTTTGCAGTAATAATAATAATCCAGAATTAAACAGTTCACTATGAATTGGTCAGTGGTCAGAGGGGGACCACATCCACCTTTTGCCAAACCCTGATATGCATATGCCACATAAAAACCCCAAGAATCTGATGAAAATTAGGGTTATGGATTGGATCTTAACTTTGTGAAAGGAAGGAGTTACTGTTCATGGAAGGGGAGCAGCCCTCATGGAAGTTGGGTGAGTATAACTCAACAAGTTAGCAAAACATTAGGCTCCAAGCTTATGCAACTATAATATAGTTACAGGGAGATATGCATTTCCTGTTTTTATTGGAGAGATTGTGCAAAACACACATCTTATCCAGGGTGTTCCACTCCCAAGAGAAAATAAAGGCAGAAGCTTTGGCTTAAAAGGCATTTGCTACAGTATAAAATATGTACGCAAACAGGTTTACCAGGGAGATTTTACTTGCGTGCACAATGTCTGTTGCAGCAAGCTATAAAAATCAAGATTAGTTAGATTGGAATAAGTCATTTCTGTCGATGCTGCTGCAGTGAGCTTAATGTCATTTAATTCTACTTTTAGTGTAATTGTACATTTAATCATTTGAGCTAAGCATACCTTACCTGGGACTTTCCAATTGATTATGTCAGATGTCATATTTGGGTGGTCCGATATAGCAAATAAGCTTAGAACAGCAGCATTTTGCCAACAGATTAATTTAGCCGTACGAATCATTACAGGCTAAAGGCATTTGCAGTACTATGCAGCCTAAAAAGGATTTAATCAAGCATAATGGAAAAAGACAGGCCACAGTAAGAAATCCTTTAATGTCTCTGCCACACAGAGAATGTGCCTTGCTATGTAACAGCGGCGTAGCGTGGGTTGTCAGCACCCGGGGCAAGGCAAGTAATTTGCGCCCCCTAACCCCTAACCTGCCGCCGCTGCCAGCTTCTTCTTGCTGCTGCCTGGTCTGGTCTGGTGTGGTTCTCTCCCGCGCTCAGCGCTGCACTGGGCGGCCGCTGCACTGTCCCTCCCCCAGATAGTCCCTCGCTCTCTCTCCGCACCGCACGCCTGGCACCCACCCCCTCCACAGTGGGCGGCGACCCAGCAGCTCGGATCGGATTCGCACAGCCAGCACTGCAGTGAGAGAGAGTGAGTGAGCCAGGTAGGGGCAGAGAGCTGCGAGTGCGAGCGCTCCCCCCTAGATGTTGCGCCCGGTGCGGCCGGCACCCCCTGCACCCCCCACGCTACGCCACTGCTATGTAATACTGAACATGCTCTCGTCAAAGCTGAAACTGTTCACTTTCTGGTAAGTGCAAGCAACACTGACAAGGTACGCTTATCGTTTAGTCCATTTGGGATCATTAAAAGCTTGCATTTCATTTCAATTGCAAGGCAAAACAAAAACATTCCGATCTCAGGTAATTCCTGTGTGTGTCCGCGTATTTCTGCAAGCTTAGCAACAGGAGTCCATGGAATGTCTATTTTGTGCAACTATTTTTTATCATTCATACAAACCAAGATGCCATAAAGATCCAAGTCACCTTGCATTAAATATAAACATTCAGAATAAACTCTTTTTAGCAGACTAGCCAGAGCAGCAATGCGCTTCAAGTACGGCACAACACAACCTTGCTACTCACCTGGGAGGCATATGAACTGGTCCCTGGGCTGGCACCCGAGTAGCAAGATGCCATAAAAAAAACTAGCACCATCAGGGACAGGACTTGGCTAGATCTTTTCTCTCTGGTGTACTAGGACTGTACCACATGATGTTAGAGTCTCTGGAGCATTGGTAGAACTTCTAAACTCTAGAAAACAAGAAAGCAGCGCCTGCAGTTCCTACCATGCAGGTCGAAAAACAAGGAAGTTACAGGAGATGGAAGGATGGAGATGATGGTCAGAAGGAGCTAGCAAGTGGCTAAGAAAGGGCCCGAGTCTGCAGTAGGGAGACAACTGGGGTCTGTGAGGATCAGAGCAGGGGAGAGAGACACAAATTCCATACTGGGTAAGGAGTTAATTATCCACTAATTCAGTGAGATGAGTAGGGAAGGAGGAAATTAGGAGGAAAGGAGTAAGTAGGAAAACGGGAGGGTTATTGTAAACATGTTTGGTTTTTTTATAAGTCAGCACGAATGCTGGAATGGGAAGCAGAGCAACAAGGGGAAATTAAAATAGGAGCCAAGATCAAGGATAAGGCCTAGGAGAATGGTCTACCCACCTGGGGTAGGAAAAGAGCTGGTCCCTTAAAGAAACATGCTACTGACAGGACAAGTTGCACCTATGCTGTCACAATGATCCTCAATGATGTATGCAAGTCATAAGCCATTAAGTTCAGCTTGCTCAGGACAGGGGTGCTTGGGATTTGAACCGCAGGGCTAATTCGCTCACGGCCTGAAGTATATTAAATTCCATCACTTCCAAGGCACACATAAAAAAAGATTCTTTTCAAGCCTATGTAAAGAAGCTCTGAAAGGACTGGCAGTCTTCACAAACATCCCGGCACCTTCAGAAAGTAGCACGTTTGGCGATTATCAGGTTTTGTTTGAAGAGGTCGAAAGTATTCCCCTATTCACGAAGCACTGCCCCACACTCTGAATGGGCTCCTTCCGCCCTCAGCTATTGATATTGCATTGTTTACAATGGGATCCTCAATTAACATTCGAATTATGATGCACCAATGTAGGGATGGGTAATCTTTTCGCCGCCATCTCAGCACCACATTTGGTGGCAAGAGGCTGCATACCAGGGGCCTGAAGTGAGCTAGGCCATCCACACATGCACACACAAGGGAGATTTACATGGAGAGGAGATGTACAGAGGTGACTCTCCCCACACGCCTTCCTCCCATCAGAGTTTTGTTTCCCCCCCATCCTTCCAAACAGTGATTTCCATGGAGGGAAGGTACACAGGGATGAACACTCCCTAATGCACCCTTCCTCTTCATCACAATCACACTCCCCATCCTGACAAGCAGCAATATTTGGCAGCACACAGGGGGAAGCTGTCTGGGCACTGGTGAAGCCCCTGCATTGAAACAAGGACTGGATGTGGCTTCCTCAGGTGTGCAGTAATGAAAGCAAAGGGATGTCAAAAGTCGCAACCGAAATAGGCAGCTGAGAAGCCAATGATTAAAATGGGAGTGTGTGGGTTATTGTGGAACAGATTTTTTTCCCCATTTCGACCTTAAAAGCAAATAAGAGGAGCACGTTCAGCAGAATCAGAGAGTCTCCAATGGCTCTCATCTGAAAAAGAACTCCCCCCACACACCTTGCAAAGTTTTGCCTAGATTCAGAATAAACTCCTGCACATGGTAACATCTCGAGTCAACAAGTTAGCCACTTAGCTAACACCTGCCCAAGTTGCCTTAGCTTTGCACCTTGGGCTACACCTATCACAGCCTATTCATTAAACAGTTTTATGAGGGGGAACAGGAAAAGTTGTGGAGTTGAGTGAGAACTGTGGAATAAGTAGAATGTATTCAGTAAAGATGCATTCTGCTGACAGACACTCCCCTGGAAGAACAGGGCAACAAATGTCCAATTGCTCCATTAATCAAGCTTCTTCTGTCCTTCATATCAATGTTTTGTCCCCTCCAGCAAGCATAGAGGCCTTGGGGAGAGGTGGGGTCTTGCATTACTTGTGTGAAGGCTTGGACACCTGCTATTTCTTCTCTTACCCAAACTGCAGTGGAAGCGAGAACCTGTCTGCGATTTCTGGGAGTTCCTTCTTCCTAGAGGAGCAAAAGACACACACTCCTAGCAAGCAGAACTGTGAGCAGCTTGAAAAATCCTCTCTTAGCCACCTTGTATCTCACTCCAGACTAGGAATTTGCTAACCCATATAATTTGTTTAGTTACACACACATACACATACATACATACATACATACACACACAGCCCACTATCTCCCTCTGGTATGAATACACACAAAACAGGGGGGAATGTTAGCACATCCCAAATTCAGAATAGATGCTGAATGAAACAAAAGTAATAGATATAAAACCCTTCAACTGAGTATTTTAAAAAAGAAATCCCACTTGACATCAAGAACCCAGATTCTACCAGCCACAGCAGTGTTTTCCAAACCTGGGTCTCCAGCTGTTTTCGAACTACCATTTCCATCATCCTTGACTGCTGGTCTTGCTAGCTAGAGATGATGGGCATTGTAGTCCAAAAACAGCTGGAGACCCAAGTTTGGGAAACCCTAAACTACTGGTATGAGGGGGCAAAAAGGAGCACTATTATTTAATATTACTAATATCTAGCTGTGTCAGTCTGTTTCCTCAGGGGTAGCATTAAATGGTTCGTTCTGTTTCAAGAGACAAGTCAAACCTCATTTTATTTAGTTACTTGCAATGTATATTTTGGATGTCAGCCAAAACTCTCCCCCCCCCGCCCCTCCCAGTCAGTTCATGAACTCTAATTAAGAGAGATGCAATTTACAGCAACACACCCCAACAGAAGTCAGAGGAAAGCCAATTACTAGACGGAATCTGCCTGTAAATACTCAAGCGCCATGCCAACACTCCAGGAAGAAGCAGCATCCAGCCATAGAGATCCTCCTTTTCAGGATCTATGTAAGCTCACTTGCCAGATATTTCAAAGTCAAAAGCATGCTGATAACACGAAGCAACAAATGTTGCAATCAATGCTATATTCTGCACTTGGGACAGAAGCCACAAAGCCTCTCAAAAAGTCTGCTATCTCTTTGAAAAAATACAGTGAGAATCTAACAAGGTGGCATGTGTGTATGGAAAGTGAAGCAGTTTTAAATATAATGTTAGGGGGTGGGGTGGGGTGTTTCAGTCTCAATGATGCCCTGAAACCCCTTCCAATTCTTGGGATCTTGTATATTCCATGAATGTTAGACTCTAGTAGAGAAGGTTGCCAAACCAGTCAGGCAAGTTCCTTAGTAAGACAAGGACCTAAGCTGGCAATTTGACTGCCCTGATCAGCATCTAAACGAATGAGCTAAGTTGCAATAGCTGCAGCTAAGCGAAGGGGAATAATAGGTCCAAAGTGGGGAGGGCTGGGCTAAAGAGTGTGCGAGAGAGACAGCTGAGCTGGAAGCGGGCAGGAAGCAGAGAGGCACAGATTTTTTAGCTCTGTGCTGGACTTTGGGGCTCCCCTTACAACCAGATAGGGAAGCAAAATTTGTTGCGGTGTTAAAGCTGAGATCTCATGCTCGAGTTGTGCACATGTGCAAATAAAACCATATATCCTAAAAACACCGCAGTCTCCACTGACCTTCATTCCGTGGAAACCAAACCCTGGGAAAACCTTGGAGACTCTCACTGTTCAGAGACTGGGGTGGCATTTATAATCAGAGAACTGCAGAGTCCAACCCCCTGCAATGAAGGAATATGCTGCTGCCCCATACGGGGATTGAACCTGAAACCCTGACATCATCAGCACCAGCCAACTGAGCTATCCAGTTCTATACACTTCATTCAGCAGCTTACGTGCTAAACTGGTTTTTAAAGCTCTTTAGGTATGCCACTCCCTACCTATTCCAGGCTGCAGAAGTCATTATTCGTGGAGGATAAGACATGACAACCACCAGAACATTGGGAAAAGGTGAAGGAACTTGATGATGGCAAGTACCAGATGAGCGACTCAAGTCTCACTAGGCTAAGAGGGGAAGGGAAGGAGAGATGGGTGCCACCACGTATTGATGATGTGTCACTCAGGATATCCAGACACCCTCCCTGAGCAGCTTCCTGTAGATATTAAACAACGTAAAGGACAAGCTGCAACCCTGTTGAGACGCCAGTGTTTAGTCTATGAGACAGAAGAGATGGTGGCCATAAGGGATGATTGAATGAAATGGATTTATATAAAGCAGTACCTCCGTTTGCACACAGGATCCCGAGGAATCCGCAACTGGAGGTGCCTGTTCTGCGCATGTGCACGGCACATAGATCACTTCTGCGCATGCGCAGGTGGCAAAACCCGCTAAACTGGCACAGCGTGGCGTGGGGACTCGCTTCCGTGGTGCCAAAAATTGAGTCTGCGCAGACGCCAAAAATTTTGTCTGCACAGATGCTGGAAATCGCGGCCGTGGGCAAGATCTGGCCCATGGAGGGACATCCGCTGGAGTGAACCAGCCCAGGCGAGGAAAACCTTCCCAACCTCTGCTCTACACCTCCACTGAAAGCACTGAAAGATTGTCTTAAAGAGCAACGTGCCTTTTGAAACAGCCTCTCCCTCCTCCAGCAGCTGTAAGAGGGCATGTAAGAGTGGGCAGGAGCAGGACCGTTTCCTGCCTGTTTAAAGGAGAAAGGAAAGGGGTTTTTTTGTTTGTTTGTTTTTTAATCTTCATTCATCAGCTGGGAACAGGGTAGCACAGCCAATACAGGATTAAACCCTGCCCTCCCGCCCATCAGCTGATGTCAACAGTGATGTCACGCCTGGCAAGCAAAACTGGTCCCCCGCTGGTGGGCCAAAGTTGGCCCACAAGTCAGATATTCCTTACCCCAGTTACACAACAAACATTGCCTCATTCAGTCTGCTTTCAGACACTGACCAGGAATTAAAACTATTTTCAATAGGCTGCATATCTAAACCGTAAAAGGTGGGATATAAAAAGTTCTACTACGTAATTTTAAAATTGAGTCTCTCTTTAAAAAGGGAGGGAGGGGGTTGAAGGGCAAATGTGCATTTAATTCTATAAATATCTAGGCCAAACCTTAAATTGTGTGTGGGGGTTTTTAAAAGAGGGGGGGAAGGCAGGGAGCCTGCTTCAAGCCCGGGAGGAGGGCCAAGCCTGAGGGGTGAATCAATGCTCAAAAATCAATGGAATGTACATCTGTTCTTTTCACAGCAAAGGCAGGGAAAAGCCTAGCTTACCCACCCTAGGAGAGGAAAATCAATGCACTCCCTAAGTGGAGTTTTAAAAGCAGCCTGGGTTGGTGGCGAAAAGAACAACTAGAAAGGAAATTCACCAGGTTTTGGGCGCATGGAGGGGGAAGAGAGAGAGAAAGTCAGAGTCCTTTGAAAAAGAAAGGAATTGTCTCTTTGGAATATCTAATGCTGTTGTCGGCATCCGATGTCTGCCTCAAGAGACAGATATCTAGTGATGCCTATCTTAAAGGGTTATTTTAAGGGTGACTAAGTTACTGCTTTTCTGAAGTGGTTCAAAGCACCTTGCAGGTATTCAGATAGTGGAAGCCAGGCATTAACTACAAAAGTGATGCTGCAAGACTGGCACGTAACACTAAGCCAAACTACAGCTTGGCAAGAACAAATAACTGCAGGAGAGGAGAAGGCAGCAGCTGAGCTTCTCCCCTGTTGTTTTGCTGCTGTGCTGAGTCAAGCCATGATCTGGCTTCATGTACCATCCAAACCCAGGCATGTGGGTTAAGCTTTCTTCAGATAAACCATGAGCTGCAACCGAGATTTGCCCTATGGCTTTGCAGCTTGTGGTGTGTCTTGGACAGCAAAACCATGAGCAGGGGTCCAGAGAATACTAATGGCTTAGTGTGTTATGTGAGAATGAGGGCATTATGAGCTGATTTGATGTTTCCGTGTATAGCTTCACAAATGACACTTGGCTGTATTTTCCCCTTTATCCATTTTTCCATTTATCAGGTTTATTGTTGTTGTTGTTTTGAAAGTGCAAATTATACTCCATGAACCATGGCCATTTCAAAGTATAAAGAAGACAAAAGTTAAGCAATTTTAAAATGTCTTACTCATTACAAATTTTTAACTTTCATATCTTTGGGTTGTATCCAATGAAGTCATCCCACCTGCTTTGAGGGTTCCCCCAACCCCCAAATACAGCCCTCGATGTTTCATAAATTGGGGTGCTCTGATGGAAGAAGGATGATCCACAAAAGAAGAAAGTTTCATAGGCAAAATCTGGCCAGAAATCTCCACAATCAGGTACATCTATATGGTTATTTACTCTAGCTTTACTCACTGTTAGGCAAAAATCACCTAGATAGATAGATAGATAGATAGATATTGCAATTCAAAAATTTACTTTCAAATGAGAAACTTACAAAAAAAGAATATTAATGTCTTTGAACAAAGGGAGGGAAGTCTACTTTGTTCATGCTATATTTGTTTCTTTATACAAGCCTGAACTTCTTCTTGTTGTTGTTGGTTTAAAATTAAGAAAACATGAGTTTTACAAATGCCTCATTATGAAAACAAAATCCTGCAGAAGGATTTTTAATCAGCATAAAAGCAAGCAACAACTATTAAATTAGTTTTTACTTCAATTTATACAAAAGAGGGTACAATTGTGTACAGTGGTACCTCGGGATGCGAACGAGATCCGTTCCGGAGCCCCGTTCGCATCCTGAATGGAACACAAGGCGCAACGGCAGGTCGCATTTCTCCGCTTCTGTGCATGCGCGCGACGTCATTTTGAGCGTTGTGCATGCGCGAGCGGCGAAACCAGGAAGTAGAATAATAGAATCATAGAATCATAGAGTTGGAAGAGACCACAAGGGCCATCGAGTCCAACCCCCTGCCAAGCAGGAAACACCATCAGAGCACTCCTGACATATAATGTGCTCCGTTACTTCCGGGTTGCCGCGGAGCGCAACTCAAATGCGCTCAACCCGAAACACATTCAACTCGAGGTATTAATATTTTTACTTTTAATATTTTTACATGAATAAGCATGAGCATCCTTGTCTCTTGAGCTTTTGACCAACTACACACATGACTTGAGTGATGCCAGGTATTGTTAGAATCTGCCTGTAATATGTTCTAATTCTTGAAGAAAAAACTTCAGTCTTCTACCATAGACTTTTCTATACAGTAAAAGGTTTCAAAGCGTAACCACTGGAACAGCGTTTGACCACTAGGTGGTGATCTATGGCAACACTACACTGCTTGTCAAGTAATCTCTTAGTGCAGCCTAAGAGGGAAGAAAATAAACTGGGATGTAAGTGGCACACATCCAAAGGGAATCTCAATAAGGCGGACCATGTGAGTTAAGGGGCGGTGGGGAGCAGGGCTGGCTGCATGAGCTCTGACTGGCTCCCAAGGAGGCAGTAAACATATTCATCTTGTCTGAATGAGTAGACATTATGAAGCAAAGGGCATAGAAAGCAATACTGCTGACTTGGATGAAGATAATGAGACTTGTGAAAATGAAAATCATTAACAGGCTTATGATGAAGGAAGCTACGGTGTTTATTAAAGCAATTCCTTTGTCAGCGAGGTTACCTGTGGATTATGCGCTCCCTGGGTTGAAAACGCCTTCATCACTTTCTGAAGGTTTTTGTTTTTATTTTGGCAGAGTGAAGACTGAGCAAAAAGTGTGTCACATCCACAGGCAACACAGACAGAATTTATGCAGCCAATTCCCACTACAGCAGCTACCCAGGAGCCACTTCAAATATGCCACAACATTTCATTCTCAGTTCATAATTCAAGGGGGCCTTTGGAAACAATTCAGCACAAAAGGGAGAGAGCATTCTGCTTATGCTAGGTATTTTCTGTGGGCATTTGCTTCACTGCATAGTGAACTGAAAAAATAAAGGGGAAGGAATAAGGTCTCTTACAACAGATATACTTAACACATATACACACACACTTAACTTGTTAATCGAAGGGCTCCACAATCTAATAAGACTGAAAGAACAGCATCCACAGCACTTGAGCAGAAGCACTTAACTCATTTACCCACAGTCTTTATATTCTCCAGCCTTTTTCTTCACCAAACATCTAAAAGGGCTATTTAAACCTCTCTGGTTACAAGAACCAATAGCTCCCAACCTATGTACTAATAATGTTTGCCCATGTGCTGATCCATATGCAGCCAAACATGTCTGCATCCACGCACGAGAGGGAGGTATCAGTATAAAACAGCTTCCTATATTTCTGCTCTAATGGGGAGGTCTAAATGCACAGTATGAAATAAATCTTAAGGAAGTTAAGTTCTAGTCCTGCACAGCAACTTGCATTCAAGCGAGTTCATATAAACCAGAACTCCTAGACTAGGGAGGAAACACGAGCATTAGTAAAAAGGACCTTTCAAAGGTGATCTGTTCAGTTACGTAACACAGCACATATACACAATACGCCTAGAACACAGAAATACTTGGCCCAAGTGTTTTAATTGCACCACACTCACCAACAAAGACGATATGGTTTGTGCCTCCTGCGGCTTAGATGGGACTCCTGGCCACGTAAGATTGGCACTAGCAACTGTCAAAGAACTAAGGGCACCATTTTTCAGCTGCTCTGTGGAATGTGACTTTGGCCCATGCCATCCCAGAAAGCTTTCTGAAACAGAAACAGAGCCAAAGTTACCAGCAATGTCATTCCTTCAATGCATACTCGTTTTCAGGGAATGGGAATCTCTCTCAACGCCTGAGGGAGGTCTCAGTAAAGAACATCTCTCTCAGCCACTTGTACCTCCGCCTCCCATTAGGTCACTTGTATTTCAACCTTGTTTGCGTCCCTTCTTGCTACTCGTAAGATCCTCCTATCACAGCACCAGTCTTATTATTATTTGTAGCAAGTGCGGTTCCATTGTTGAGCGAGAACCAGCATAATAAGAGCACCGCTCTCAAAACAGAATGGGAGTTTGACTTGATTCGCTCAGTTCTGAAATAAGTACAGGCAATTTCACTTCTACCTTTTAGCCAGTACTTAAAGGTAAAGGTAAAGGGACCCCTGACCATTAGTCCAGTCGTGACCGACTCTGGGGTTGTGCCGCTCATCTCGCTTTATTGGCCAAGGGAGCCGGCGTACAGCTTCCGGGTCATGTGGCCAGCATGACTAAGCCGCTTCTGGCGAAACAGAGCAGCGCACGGAAATGCCGTTTACCTTCCCGCCGGAGCGGTACCTATTTATCTACTTTCACTATGACGTGCTTTCGAACTGCTAGGCTGGCAGGAGCTGGGACAGAGCAATGGGAGCTCATCCTGTCACGGGGATTCGAACCACCGACCTTCTGATCAGCAAGTCCTAGGCTCTGTGGTTTAACCCACAGCACCACCCGCGTCCCTTAGGTACTTAGGTGTCAAATATTAACAGCTGAGTGAGAGTCACAGACATTTTCCCCAGTGACTGCATATATTATATATATGCCCGAAGACACCATTGCACATAGACACCCAAGGGCAGGCAGCAGTACATCATCCCTTTTATTCAAGTGTTATTTAGCTCTCTAGCTGTGAATGCTGCTGAACATCAGGTTTACTCCAAAGATTATCTTAATACCCATATTCAAGTTATTCAAGGCTAGAAGAAAGCTCTAGCATAAACATGTACTTGAGCAACTGGCCCCAGACTTTGGACAACAGCAGCAGCAGCAGCAGAAGCAGTCCAGAACCTGCTTCAAGTAAAGGTGCATAGGCATTGATAGGCAAGTTGACGTTAGCTTAAAAGATGAAGACTTGAAGCAGTTTCCACTCCATGATCAAAGGGAGGACAGGCTTGTGTGACAACACAGAATTCTACCAACCCTGTTTTGCTCACATCAGGTGTTTGTGATGGAACAAAGACAGAATTCCAGAATTTGCGCACTCTGTGACCCAGTGATATTTTCAGCTAAGGTGTTCGTGGTATACTTGTTGGGCAAACAGCCTCTCCACAGGCATATTTCATTGAAAACTCGGCAACACCGCCAATAAATTGAAGGCACCGTGGACCAGACTGTCCCATGCAATCACAGATGGCAGCAATTCCTCACAAGAACAGCATATAGGAGATGCTTGTGATTTTAAAAAGATTCCGATTCTTGTTAGCTGCAAACACATACTTCAACTCAAATCGGAACCAGGGCAGCATCGTAACTCAGTAGCCATCATCTCCTGGTCACCACCGCTTTATTGCAAATGGCCCACAAAGTCAATGGGCTTGGCTCAAAGGCAAAAATCCCAGGTTATCATACAGATGACAAATCACCCTCCCTCTAAGGTGCAAAGAAGCCTCTGGGTCAGCATGTTCGAGGCATGTGCCACTTTGAAAATGACCAACAGCTGGCAAGCAAAAGCCTATTACTGGGCCATATCAAGTCTAAACTGGCATACTTTTGCCTGAATAATTGTCGATCTTAAGAAGATGTTAACAATTAACTTAACCTAGGGGGGAATTCACCCAAGTAGCTTTGACACTTGATAATTTATGGCTATTTATAGATCCAAAAGGTTAGGTACTGAACAACATTCAATGATAATGACGAGAGTGTTAGAATGCAAAGTGTTAGCTGTTTTATGTATTTGCACTTCCAATGCTACGTTTGTGGAATTTAGTGGATTTTGAGGATGTTCTGAAACTGTAGCTCAAATAAAAGACTGTCTAGAAATTAACTGCTAAAAGTTTCAGAACTTAAAATGCCTCTGTATGACCTGCATGGGCTTAATATGCCGAAAGGTCATTCCTATTTTAAAAAACAGGAACAAAATGTTACTACAGTTTGCATTATTATATTGTCACAGTGCATAAACAAAACAAGCTAAGCTAAAATTTGCATCAGCCAATGGATTACAGCAATTTGGCAGTGTGGCAACCCAATCTTCAGTATCTGTACTTGGAATGCAAGATTAAGGCTATGCTTTCACAAAGCACTGGCAAAGAAACTAGCATGACTTTCCTGGCTGTTTATTGGCATGTGTTGCAAGTCTTATACACAAACATTCCAGTTTGAAACCCAACATCAAAGCTTAGCTGGCTCATTTCAAGAACACACAAGCATGCAGGTTTCTGGAAATAAGATCCCAGCTGCTTTGCAACTCCCCAGTCTTTTTGACGCTGTGCCATAATTTGGCTTAGCATCACATCCAAACCTGGGTTCATGATTTAGCTCTCTCCAGACTAACCATCAGCTGTAACCAAGGTTTGCCCCATGGTTTGCAACTCATGCGTTGTCCAGGAGAGCTAAACCACAAGTCCAGATTTGGTCAACATGGTAAAAACCAAACCATGGGTTAGCTCAGCAAAGTTGGGGGAAAGCAAAGCAGCTAGGATCTTCTCTCTGGGAGTTCACATTTGTGCAAAGCCGTGGTTCGACTTAGGCGTGATGTAAGAACCCAGAACTGTGAAGAAACTTCACAGGTGCTCCCTTTATTTTACACTTTGGGTAAATGACTCGTGTGTTCTCTTGAGAGGCGAGTCTTCTTTTTAAGAAAGGGGGCGTTACGATACTATTGGTAACTCCCAGAGAGGAGTCGAGAAGGTTAGCATTGCTCACCTGAAGACAATGTCCTGTTACTGTGTTGGCTCGCTTGCTGTATGCTGTGTTGTAGCATATGCAGGCATTCTCCAAGGCAGCTGAGGGTGGCAGCAGAGGTAGCTTTTAAAAGCAGCAGGTCTTGATCCAAGGCAGAAAGAGGACCAGAACCTGGGAGGGATTCAATGGCTTGCACAAGGCTTTTCTGCTGTCCCTCCACCTGGCTCATGATCTGCAAGTATATGTACATATTTAAACATTCATATGTGCAGCCAATTTGTCAACAGGTTACTATTATCACTGCTTGCTGACTTCTCTGTTGCACAGTACAGCTGGAAAAAAGATCCTGCTCCAATCCATAATTTAATACCAACTTTAATTCTACCAAATAAATACCAAAGGGACATGGCATTACAATATATTTAGTACCTTTTCTTTTCCTCTCAAAAACTATCATTCTAACCTGAAATGTAGAATTTTGCCCTGAATGTGCATACCAAATGTTATTCAGGTATCTCGTAAGGGTGTATCATTCTATACACTATCTTCACTCACCAATTAAAACTTTATTTTCAGTAAGTCTGTCAGTAGCTGAAAGCTAGTCTGTTAATACAGAAATCACCATTATTATTATTATTATTATTATTATTATTATTAAAATTTGTATACCACCTTTTACCTGTAAATCTCAGGGCGGTTCACATATTAATGGCAAATGCCATTAATATGATAGCAAGTCTAAATAACAGAAAACCCCAATGAACTGTACACTGTCTATACATCTTCAGATGTAACACAGTGCCCCAAAACCTACCCCACGGAGCCAGTGAAGTAGGAAATCACAGGCCCGAACCAAGATTGGAATGGGTTAAAAAAATAATCAGTACCATTCAATAAAGTTTGCAGTTGCCCTACCTTGACCCTCTCCACAACCTATGAATACGGTATTTGTGACTGGTTGATATCTAGTTCAAAAACACCAGATCTAGAGATGGTTCCTTTAGGAATGGATACAGCATTGCCTCTTTCAATACAGCAGGGACCAACTCTTCATGTAATCAAGTGCCAATTGTGCCCTTTGCTTCTCTGAAAGCTTTCCAGTTCAAATTGAGGTTTTTCCACACTTAAAAGGAACTTAGGGTTGTGGCCTAGGGAGTTCAAAGTGAGTTACTTCTTACTAGAATATTTTCCACGATTGCAGGTTACTATTACTTTGGTTGGAATAATGGTAGAACAGCAAAAGGAGCCAGGATCTATGGAAATGAGACCCACAATGTCTGATCTTTAGTACGTTTTGTACCAACCCTGAATCTACAATGCGCTACATTATTGTTCCAGATTTGTCTCAAAAGCACTATTTATGCTCTTCTAAAGATATTTTAAGTTAATGATCAATAACCTCACAAGTGTTCTGTCTCTTATAGCAATCCTCCGACTTTCTTTACCACAATTCCATTAGCAAAAAGCTTTTGGTGCTTCCCCCACCCTCCTTCAGAAAATAGATCACATTTAGCATGAATATGGCAAAATGCTTGACAAGATTAGAATTGGACTGACGCAACCAGCTTCCAATGTTCCCCCAATACAAGTTTGAGAAGTCAGTGAAGCAGCTTGGTTAAAATGTACACATTTTTCTGCCACAGGCAAGAATATGGCTGAGCTACATGTTCCTCCAGTTCAGCCCTTCGCCCAATATTGAAGCTTACTCTCTTAGGATTACGAGCATGTAGCAAAGAAGGGCAAAGATTCATCTTCTGAAATGTAAAGTTTAAAGATTGTGTAGCGCTCTCTCTCACACACAAACACACACAACCTTGGGAAGTATCCAATCCTATGTAACTCAACCCTACATGCCGCCAGAAAGGATTCATTCAGAGATTTCTCTGATCATGCCTACCCTCATGTATTTAATAATTTTGGTGTGAAATCCCTAATCTTTTTGCAATCAACAACCAATAAATGCTTGGTGCAAAATCGAAAATCTGAAGGTATAAGGTAAGGTAAAGGTAAATGACCTGTGGACAGTTAAGTCCAGTGAAAGGCAACTATGGGGTTGCGGCACTCATCTTGCTTTCAGGCCGGGGGAGCCAGCGTTTGTCCACAGCTTTCCGGGACATGTGGCCAGCATGACCAAACCACTTCTGGCACAACGGAACACCGTGACGGAAACCAGAGCGCATGGAAATGCTGCTTACCCTCCTGCCGCAGCAGTACCTATTTATCTACTTGCACTGGTATGCTTTCGAACTGCTAGGTTGGCAGAAGCTGGGACAGAGCAACAGGAGCTCACCCCATCATGCAGATTCAAGCCACCGACCTTCCGATCAGCAAACCCAAGAGGCTCAGTGGTTTAGACCACAGCACCACCCGCTCCACATACATAAAAATGATTATCACTGATACCAGCAGGTGCTAAATTCTCTTACTGGCATCCCTATGAAATAGTGATAGCCAAGGGGAAGTCCCCTGGGTGGTGTTGGTCAGGAATTATGGGAACTGTAGTCCATAACATCTGAATGATACCACATTGGCTATGCAGCATAAAAAAAGGCAGTAACATTTTCATTGTTTCATCAAGACCCCTTAAAAAGCTATGCCATAAGCTTAGTGACATTTTATCCCTGCATAAAACCAACTCTGGAGCATATGTCCACTGAATGTAATAAAATTCAAATAACCACCATGCACGATAGGAAATTATTAGCAAGTATTACTAGTTATTTTACCCTGCTAGATTTATCTCTCAGAGGAAGCAGATCTGGCATACAATTCCTCTCTCCACAAATCCCCGTAGTACCACTGTTACTTACTCCTCATATTATCCATCAGTGCTGAATGGAACAAAATCCATCACAGAAAACAGGGCACACACAGAGTGGTTCCGTCTTAGTAGCGCACCTGTGCCAAGTAAAAAGCACTAAAACCTTCAGAGATCTCTATTCATCTGAAGCTACGGCACTAGCATCTCCCTCATTTAGAAGACAGCTTTTATTAAAGCTCCCACTTTCCTTATGTACTCCGTCTTGATCAAAGCTGTTAAAACCCCTAGTGCAGAGCCATCAGCAGATAGTGGCAGCTTTCAGCCACGAAAAGAGTAGAAGTTCGATTGCAGCAGGTTCGTTAAGGGGAAAGCTCTTTTTGCCCACAAAGCTTGACCTCCTAGAATATCTTAATTGTAAATGCACAGGTTCATAAATAATCCCTGAGAAGCCTCCTCCCCAATACAATCCTTTCATCTTCCCACTGCTGCAAGCAAGGAGACACCACCTGCACCCCTATTATCAGGGCCTCCTGCCTGTGCAACTCAATTCCTGGCAAGCATTTTTATCCAGAAAGATTGCACACAAGAGACAAGCCCTGGTAGAGTTGCACCCTTAGGGTTGCATGGATATCGCAGCTTCTACCTGCAGCAAAGAAGCAGTTTGAAAAGATGGATTGTGGCCCACTTGTGGACCAAGACTATTAAGCAGTAGAGTCATTTTTCTTAGAACTTCATGCAGCAGGAGATGGCTTGCCAAGAGAAGCCAATGCAGTTGCTTTCCAGATACTGATGGACTTCCAACTTCCACCATCCCCAACCATTAGCCATATTGGTTGAGGCTGATACGAGTTGCAATCCAAAACATTTGGACGGTACCACTTCAGCTTCCTGTGGCTGAAGTGAACTCTTTACACTGCAAAGACAGGGAGAGTCCATGCAATGTATGTATGAGCAGCTAACTGCACCTAAACGAGAACGCCCTGTTTCATCCTCTTTTCTTGATGCTTTTACAAAAGAAAGGCATTTTTGCACCAGCTAGGAGAAGGGAGTCTCTAGCTGTACAGGTCCATTTTCATCCCTCTGATGGAACTGGCTGGTCCACACACACACAAGCTTCCCCTCAAACTCTGAATTCACAACAGCAGCTCTCCAAACCTGAACTAAGTACAGAAAACTTTCTCTGCAAAATAGGTAGCATGCTAATCACAGAATGAAGAGGACTTGCTTCTGTGAAGACAAGAGAAAGAGACAGAATGTACAGGTTTCCTGCTAAGATTCATTTAAGCCAATTCCCCAAGCAGAACTAAAGTACATTATTTTGAGCCGGCTAATCATCCATTTATTTTATTCACACAAACACACACACACACACACACACACACACACACACACACAATGTTGCACTGATAAAAGGTAAAATTAGTATTTATCTTAAACCACAAGAACTTATTCAAGTTAAATATCTGAATTTTCAGAACTGGAAAACCCACTTGTGTCATGCTTTGCATCAACAAGAAAGCTCCATCTGTCCCCTACCTCTCTGACTTCATTGAGCTGGCCAGGACACTGGTTCTTGGCTCTTCGGGCTGCTGCAGGTGATTTGTGATGTGTGATGGTGACAACTGGTGGCCCAACTTGATTCAGGCTTTTCTGAGAACTCGAAGAAGATGTGGAGTTGGATGTTCCAGGAGGCAACAAAGACAAGCTTTTCATTCGTGAGGTTGGAGTACTCTGGAAGAATCAAGAAGTTAAAAGCATAACATGACAGCATAAGGAACTCTCTCAATTAGTGAGGAGATCATAGAATTGTAGAGTCAGAAGCGATCCTGAGGAAATCTCAGCTAAATCATACATCACAGCTGGCCATCCAACCTCTGCTTTAAAACTTCCAAGGAAGGAAAATCCACCACCTTCCAAGGGAATCCATTCCACAGTGGAACAGCTCTTACTGTCAGAAAGTTTAGCTGGGAATCTCCTTTCTTGAAACTTGACTTCACTGGTTTGGGGTCTAGCCTCCTGAGCAGAAGAAAACAAGCTTGCTTCATCTTCCATGTGACAGCCATTTAGATATTTGCAGATGCCTATCATATCTCCTCTCAGCCTCCTTTTTACCAGACTAGACAAGATGTTTGTAGACAGTGCAAACACTGCTGTTCAACGGATGTTCAGCAGATTATAATCTGGAGATTGCCTGTGCACGGACAGTCAATGCTAGGCTATGGCTGTGTAAACTGGGTTGCAGCTGACACAGCTGGTAGAAGGCAGTCCACAACACCAAGGCAACCTGCATCTTCAGTGATGAAACTGGATCAAGAAGCAGCCCCAGTCTGGAAACCCAATCCTTCAAGGGACAGCAACCCCATTCAGAGAAAGGTGAACACCACTCACCTAAGCAGATGAACTTCCCACCAAAGTGAACCTCCACTTTGCCTACCTTCAGTTTCAGTTTATTGACCCTAATCCTGACCATGCCTACACCCAAGAACCAATTCAGAACTTCACTTGCCTTGCCTTCATTAGATGAAGGAGAGGAGTATGAGAAAAGAAGAACTGTGTGTCAGCTGCATATTGCTGGTCCTCACCCTATACCTGTGAATGATCTCTCACTCAGAGTTTTCATGTAAATGTTAAACAGCAAGGCAGCTAGAACTACCCCCCCCCCTTACAAGTAGATGTTCACCTTACCCTAGACAGAGGAGGTCAAACCCTCTCTGCTTGATGCAACTAAGCTTCACAGGTGAAGGTTGAGCACACACATACTATTATGTCGGACTTGCCCAAATACACTGCCTGCATCTTGAGTCTTCCAACAAGCAAAATTCACCCATGAACAATAGACTAGACAGGGCTCTGGCCGCATCCATAGACCGATTAGTAGCATCCAAGTTGCAGTTGGTGCAAATGATTTTTATCCTCACAGTGCTTTGCAAACTGTCATGGCACAACTCCAAAGGTTAGCTGCTACACTAAAATATACCATGTGCAGCTATTTGTCTATTAATATTGATGCTCTCATTTGCTTTCTCCTACAGACTTTGGCAGCACAGATCTTTTGTTCATGAGGCGCTCTCACAACTGAAGCTGGAGGAGAGATTATTAGTGTTCAAGCAGTACTTAAATCACAGAGCCTGAATGCAATACAGATTGCCTTTGTAAGCAGCCCTGTAGCAGTGACAGCAAACAAGGCTCTCCCCCTCCTTCAGCTGTCAAAAGGACCTTCTAAATACTGAGGAGAGTGGCGAATGACCTGAAATATTCAGGACAGATACATCTACCCCAAGGCCAAACTCTGCTTCAGGAGCACAAACAAATCTATCACCTATTTTGTGCAAGAAATTTCACTTACTTAACCAGGCTCTGGACAGTGAAATATGGAGGAAACACTTGATATGCCCTTTGTTTGCTAGGGAAGCAGGGATTGTGCACAAGAAGGAGAAAGTCAAACAGACAGGGTGGGAAAAAGAGAAGAGACAAATGCAGTAAAGAGGTCTCATCCCCTCATCTCATCCCTGGAGCAAGTTGAGGCCAAGGGGCCAAGCCATTCCTCACACTTTATTTGGCTGTGCTTGGTGGCTCCCAAAAAGGGCTGCCCAAGCCGCCCCAAAACCACACTTTCACACCTCACAGCTTTTAAATATATTATTTACTATTGTGTGTGTTGACATATAGGGTTTGTACGCTGCAACAGATGTTAATTTTAGTTAAATGAATCCTTGCTCGGAGCATGCCTTCAGCTGAAAGGTATTCAGAGGAGACTTGGTATAAAATTAAAAAAGCTTTACTAAAATAAGTACATTCTCAGAATCACAGAGTTGGAAGGGACTGTGAGAGCTACCTAGTCCAGGCTTTCTCAAACTTGGGTCCCCCGCTGCTTTCGGACTACAACTCCCATCATCCCTAGCTAGCAAGATCAGTGGTGAGGGCTGATGGGAATTGTAGTTCAAAAACTGCTGGAAACCCAAGTTTGGTGAACCCTGACCTAGTCCAACCCCTTGCAAATGCAGGAATCTTGTTGACAGTAAACCAGGACTTTAGAACTCCTTTCCCCCCCCCCATCTAGCTGGAGAAACAGAGAAGCCACACAAGCACTTTTGTTCTCAGAAGGTAGAACCATCAGGACCTCTTGCCTCGAGGTCCGGAGACTGTGTGTGAGGAGCTGGAAGTTGTAAGCATAACGCAACCTAAGACTTACCACTCTAAACATCAAACAGACAGAAGTCAGCATAGAGATAAATAGGGGCAGGGAGCTTACTTTATCAGTCTTAACCAGGCATCCCCAACCTGCGGCCCTCCAGATGTTTCAGCCTACAACTCCCATGATCCCTAGCTAACAGGACCAGTGGTCAGGCATGATGGGAATTGTAGTCCAAAACATCTGGAGGGCTGAAGCTTTGGGGTGCCTGGTCTTAACCCTGCAAGCTGGAGTACAACTTCCAACAATATGCCACCCTACAATTGTCAGATGAAGGCAGTCTAGAAATACAATAATATAATCACTATATAACCAAGACTTCAATTAGCCAATTGTGGGTTGATGTCCTCCAACGAAGGGAAACCCAGAATGGGAATATATTTGTTTCACCATAAGGGCCAGACGGACTAGGTGAAACCCATCCAGGGATAACTCTGGTTATAAACCAGGCCGATCCATCTTTGCAAATCCAAGTGGTGGGCTCTCTGGCATATCACTCCTATAGCAGGCTTAGAGAGAAGCAATTCCAAATACAAGGACTCTGTAATGAACACTGAGCCTCTAGGCCATGTGCATGATATGTTTGAAGCACCTAAAAACACACACTAAATACTACAAGTCCTGCCCAATTCAACAAAAACAACAAAATAGCAAAAGGGAAAACGAAAACGGGGGGAAAGAACTGTGGGAGAGAGACTAAAGAGAAATAAATTATTTTTCAGGAGCTGGATTTAGGTGTTTCTTTACAAAGAATCAAATTCAGCCAGCTGCAAAAAGAATTTCACACAAAAAGGCCCATTTAGAGAAAAGTGTGCAAAGATACAATGAGGGGAAGAAATATGTGGTTTAACAAGCAGCAAAGAACTAGAAAAATGCAGAGACAGAGAATATCGAGAATGAATAAAATATCTTTCAATGAAAATATCTTTCAATGAAAGATCAGCAGGAGCTAGAGAATGAAGAAACAGAGCCTTAAATTGAATGTGAAAGAGGAAAAGGCAACCAGCTCAGAGAAATCATAAGCATGAGGAGAAAAAACCTATCATATCTGCAAACAAAGAGGAGGTGAAACGCAGGAAGCAAAATAGACCAAAGAGGCTTACCGTGGAAATATAGAAGACAAACTAAAAAGAGTATGAGAATAACCCACTGGGACAAGATAAAAGACACGAAGAAAATAATGAAATGTAAGCAATACTTGACAACTGAAAACGACAATATGTAGCTACTGTCTGGGAAGATAAAAAGAAAGATCTCTGCTTTGATGAGAATATGTGATTGCATAAACAGTTTAAAAAAGAATGGGAAGACAAGAACCCAAAGTCAAAAAAAGGAAGTATATTTCAGTCCGGGGGAAAGACTTAACTTCAAAACAGTGAGACACACAGTCATGAGAAAACAGTGGGAAGAAAGAAAGAAAGAAAGAAAGAAAGAAAGAAAGAAAGAAAGAAAGAAAGAGGTCAAAGAGAAAATAATATTAATTGTCTTAGAATTTACATGAGAATACGAAGAACTGAGAGGGGGATTCATGGCCTTCCAGATGTCTGACTCCAACTTCCATCAGCCCTCATCACTGGTCATATTGACTGTAGCTGATTGATGCTGGAGTCATACAAGATAAAGAAGGTCACACATCTATAAGTTACATTTTAAATCACGGGGGAATAAAGGTAAGCGAATATTAACAATGAGTTTAAGACATGTAAAATTTCTCCTCCATTTATAAAGGTAAAAGTAAAGGGACCCCTGACCATTAGGTCCAGTCGTGACCGACTCTGGGGTTGCGGCGCTCATCTCGCTTTATTGGCCGAGGGAGCTGGCGTACAGCTTCCGGGTCATGTGGCCAGCATGACTAAGCCGCTTCTGGCAAACCAGAGCAGCACACGGAAACACCGTTTACCTTCCCGCCGGAGTGGTACCTATTTATCTACTTGCACTTTGACGTGCTTTCGAACTGCTAGGTGGGCAGGAGCAGGGACTGAGCAACGGGAGCTCACCCTGTCGCGGGGATTCGAACCGCCGACCTTCTGATCGGCAAGTCCTAGGCTCTGTGGTTTAACCCACAGCGCCACTCACGTCCCATTTATACAGACCCTTAATAATCAAGCCTGGTGTCCAAACATTTTCTGGACGAGAAAGGGATAAGCTACAAAACCTGATAGAAAACCTGGTGGAATTCACTCACTATTGTTCAGAACACAAAGCGTTTCACTTAAAATATATAGAAAGAGAGGGAGGGGAATACTGCCATTTTTTGTTTTTGTTTTTGTACAAGGAGTAAAGCAAGGATTTCTTGGACACTGCCTCAGACATGCCTCAGAATTATTAAAGTTGTAGTAGGTGATTACTCTGACTCATGGTCAAAATGACAGGCTGACTGTAGCAGCTTTTGAATAAATGGTTTGTACTGACATCACTTCTATTAATAATAGTCTTTTTGCATGTTAGATAAGACATTCAACATAACCACTGTCCTAGCACCCCTTTACTTAGTACGTTTTCTATAAAGACGAGGAATGCCGTGGCTATGAGACTGGGAAAAATTGCTACCTAGTCTAAAGACTTGGGCATTTTCTTTACAGCCCAATAATTTTTTACAGTGGTTATTTTGTGTGGTTTAGAAAAGCCATTTCTTTTTCTACCACCTGCAATTAGAAGTCATTGGAAACAGCTATTGGCAGTTGGTTATGGTCATAAAGAGCTCACTCAAACATCACACTGAACCATCTATGGCCCTTGCTTTTATTTCAGATCCTATGGCTTGAGATTCCAAGCATACGGGTGAAATCACGATGTCACTAGAGGAACAAAGTCCTTCTCTCAAGATGCAATGCATTTTTTGGCTTGGCCCCTCGGCTATCAGAGCGCTATCCTAAACCCCTCACTGCCTTGCCCATCCAGTGGCAAAGTGCTACCGAAGCTATTTGAGCGCTCAGTGTCTCAAGGTAGTTTACAGAATTCCTATAATCATACATGTAGTGAAAAGGAAACAAGTTCTTTTTAATACTTGCAGAAAATCAACAGTAAACTCCCTCCTCAGTTATTCATCTCTCTCTCTCTCTTGGGTTCACCCTCTTGCATTTCAAATATTGCTTTCTATTAACTCCCTATTGTGTGTTTTTCCTTGCCACCTAGAGGAGCTCAAGTCAACCCACACCTCTTCCTTCCTTGCAAACAGTAATGTCATTGTGATGACCGGCACTCCTAATGGAACTCTTCTCGCACCTTTCTGAAATCCCAGCCACGCACTCTCTAGTCACAGCAGCGACAACTATGCAACGTCAGAAAAGTTCCCAGCCACTGCCAACTCACCTGTAGCCTTCCTCACATAGCTTGATCCCCCTGCTGCAGCTGGGAAGCCAAGTAAATCATTCTCCTATACTCTCCCTAACCAGTCTTCACCTGAGCCACTCCCTGCGCCATACAGCTCTTCCCCACATTCCATTCTGACTTAAAGAGATATCAGATGTGTTCCGTTGGACCAGCATTTCCTCAAACATCTGATAATCAAAATGTAGCTACAAGCAGCAAAAACAAAACAAAACATGGGGGATGGAGGGTTTTCATCCTTCAGCAAATTTTAGATGCAACGTAACTTTCTTGTCCATCCATTCAGCAGACTTTTCAAAATAAAAATTATCATGATTCCAGTCAATACGTACCTCCCAAGCAGTATTCCTCAAAATAACACACTCATTCCCTTCAAAATAACACAGAGAGACATCCAATTGCTTTCTGCCTACCACTTTCTGTCTGTTTTAACAGTAAGCGGTCCTAAACATTTTGCTGTCGTCTAAAAATCTGGCAAGCAGGTTGTATAGAGACAACTATAGAGACTTTGAAAGTGGGAGAATAACGGAAGGGCTCTACCAACTGTTGTGGGGTTTTTTTACTAGTTTAATATTTCCAGGCACGACCTTCACTTACTCCAAATGGCATGCAAGAATGCAATTTCCTGCCCTATAATTATTTACCTTCAAATTATTTTCCGTGTGATACTTGGCACAGGATCGGAGCTGAGTCACCCAGTACTGCCTCTCCTTTGCATCCCCGGCTGGAAAAAGAAAACACATACAGAAAAATAAATAAATGTGTAGTTTATTCTCATTTTAAAACCAACCAATTTTCCTGCTATGTACGGTCCCTTTCATCTCAAACTCTCCCTAAAGAAACAACCTAGTTATTGAGATTGATACAGTAACTGGCTTTTCTATCTTCATTTTTAACTTGATGCATTTTAGCACCTGACACAATATTTTAAGGTTTGATGCATTTTACACCTGACACAATATTTTAAGGTTTGTTTGTTACTTTCCCATGAACCACGACTTAAACTATTACTTATCAACCAATATACACTGGGAATAGTGGGGGGGGGGGGTTCCCCATGGAGAAATGAAATGGTGCTGTTCAGGGAAACCAATGTCACACGATTTTGATAATCGCCTGAACTGGTCCCTTTGTTAAAATCAACAGACTTTTGGGGGGTCTACCCTTTTTCTCAGTCCTGAAAGACTTTATTCTAATAAAGGTAAAGGTAAAGGACCCCTGACAGTTAAGTCCAGTTACGAACGATTCTGGGGCTGCAGCGCTCATCTTGCTTTACTGGCCGAGGGAGCCGACGTTTGTCCGCAGACAGTTTTTCCGGGTCATGTGGCCAGCATCACTAAGCCGCTCCTGGCGAAACCAGAGCAGTGCACAGAAACGCCATTTACCTTCCCGCTGGAGTGGTACCTATTTATCCACTTGCACTTTGACATGCTTTTGAACTGCTAGGTGGGCAGGAGCTGGGGCTGAGCAATGGGAGCTCACCCCGTCGCGGGGATTCAAACCGCTGACCTTCCGATCAGCAAGCCCTAGGCTCAGTGGTTTAGACCACAGCGCCACCTGCGTTATTCTAATAGGGGCCTGCAATTCTTTGCAGACTTTGCTAAGGGGTAAGCTCAACCGAATACAATGGGATTACATTCTGAGTAAAGGTGCTTAGAATTGCACTTTAAATAAGGCAATCTAAGATTAATCTATTGAATGCCAGCATTCCAGTTCAGAATCAAGGCAACGTAAGTCAGCACAATCTTTTCATAGAACAGGTATTATGCAGTGCCTATTAAAATTTTAGTTGGATAAGGAAATGTGCACTTTGCACTTTTGAGATTTTGGGACGTTCTGTTTCAAGTGGAGAATAAAACCTACATCTTTCAGTTTTGCCTTGGTTCTGCAAAGCACCGTTCAAAGCAGCCACACATACAACCAGCGCATATCACCTTGTAGCGACCTTAGGACCTCTTTTTACAGAAGGAAAAATATGGGCAAGTTCCCATTAAGATAATCTTAAAGGAATTCAGATCTTGTTTTACTTCAGCACTGAAGCATCCCATGACTGAATATCAATTAGAAATTCTTTTCTAAGAAGAGGGGTATGGATAACAGTGGAAAGAGCTTAGATCTTGCTTGTGGGTTTCCCAGAGACATCTTGTTGACCCTTGTTGTGGAAAACAGGATGTTGGATTAGCTGGGCCTTTGGTCTAATCCATCACAGCTCATTTTATGCTCACCCTCCTATGCTGGGGGCAGGGGGAGGAAGAAGAGGGCGGATTCTTCCATCCCAGCTATATTCAGGACTTCCTCAGTTTGGCCTTGGGAAACAAGGCAACCATCAGTAGACTATTTATTTCAGAGAGTAAGCTTCACTTTTTATAAACTGGCTCTTAGGTGAACCACATTGCCTGGCTGAGTCTACTGCCTTAAGGTAGTCATTTCAACCATTTCAAACACAAAAGCATTACCTTCTCCAAACCAATTAAAAGCTTGTCACTTTTAAACAAAGAGTAGCTGGGGAAATGCAACAGCTGCAGGAAAGGCAAGTTTAAAGAGCACAATAAGCCCGCAACTGACACACATTTGTGTGCATTCAGCTTTACGCAATTGGCAAAAGGGGTTTTTTCTTTCATTAAAAAGGGGTTGGATGTCCAGGGGAAAAAGACGTTGGCAATCCCACCCAACACTGAACCCAATATGCTTTGACTAAATGCAATTTTGGCTTTAAGCGAAATCTCCCGAATGTAAATGCAGTGTGAGTTGCGGACTTACTGTGCACACACACACACACACACCCCCAAAAAACAGCAGTGGTGACAAATAACCATACCTCTGAGTTTATACATTTCTCCATTAGCAGAGTATACCACCAACATGTGAGGGGCTTCATCGCTGAGAGAAACTACTGCTCCAGCTAAGGATAACAGCCCTCGTGGCTTCTGGTTTTTACTTTGTTCGTTCACAAAATATTGTAGGATTCCAGTCTCAAAATCCAGCATGAAATACCTGTTAATAGAGAGGGAAATAAACAGATGCATGTAATCTAATTTCCTATGCAGCGCCCGAAAAAGTTTTCATTTTTAATATGCAACTATGTACTGCATATCAAGATAGAAGTGGACTACTGTACACATTTGTTCCGCATTTACATTTCTGCTGTAACGCTTAGAAGTGGACTAAGAATATGGCTTTTCAAAAGAATGCAAGCAATACAGAGAATCACAGGGTTTGAAGAGACCATGAGGAATGCAGGAATCTCCATGACAGATGGCCATCCAACCTCTGCTTAAAAACCTCCAAAGAAGGAGAGTTCACAACCTCCCAAGGAAGACTGTTCCACTGTCAAACAGTTCTTACTGTCAAAAAGTTTTTCCATGTGTTTCGCCAGAATCTCCTTTCTTGTAACATGAAGCCATTGGTTTAAGTCCTACCCTCCAGAACAGGAGAAAACAAGCTTGTTCCCTCTACCATGTGGCAGCCCATGAGATATTTGAAGGTGGCTATCATATCTCCTCTCGGTCTCTTCTGTTCTAGGCTAAACATATCCAGCTCCTTCAACCGCTCCTCATAAGGCTTGGTTTCCAGACCCCTGATTACCGTATTTTTCGCCCTATAGGGCACACCAGCCCATAGGGCGCACCTAGTTTTGGGGGGGGAATAAAGGGGGGGAATTATTATTTTTCCCCCGGCGCGGGGCTGAGGCGGGGGAAGCCCGAGCTTCCCCAGCCCCCAGAACAGGTTGCTATCCGCAAGCCTTGGGAGCCCAGTGGGAACTCCTGCCGGGCTCCCAAGGCTTGCGAACATCTGCCCGAAGCCCGGGGTGCACTCCACTGCGCTCCCCGGGTTTCGGGCTGCAGGCTGCTGTCCGCAAGCCTTGGGAGCCCGGCGGGAACTCCTCTCACTCTCCAGGCTTCAGCAAAAGCCTGCATTCGCTCCATAGGACACACACACATTTCCCCTTCATTTTTGGAGGGGGAAAAGTGCGTCCTATAGAGCGAAAAATGCGGTATCTTTGTTGCCCTCCTATGCACTCATTCCAGCTTGTCAACGTCCTTCTTAAATTGTGGTGCCCAGAATTGGACACAGTATTCCAGCTGAAAAGTATTACATTATCCCCCTATATTGTCCCCAATAATAGCCAAATCCTGCTCAAGTTACTTTATGCCTTTCACTTTAGAACTTAATGTGACTGAGGCAGATATTGAAGGATGGATGAGTTCAGAGAGAGAAGGGCAAGGTTTGCTGAGGCCAGGCTAGAAAAGAGCTCTCTTTCTATGCAAGAACCAAGATGGTGAGTTAAGCTTAGAAGACAGTGCAACCGGTGGATAGCAGATCTTATGTATCCCCTCATTTTCCAAACCCTGAGCAAAGACAGCCCCATGGAAAACACACTGTAGTCATTTATTCTTGAAACTGTGAAGAAGCAGGCAATTCAAACCAAAACTCCAAAAGCAGCGCAGATTTCAAGGAGGCTGCTTGTACACAAACATTTGTAGACTAAGGCAAAATGCCAGGAACTCAATGTTAGAAATTCAAAATTAATTGGCAAATAAAACCAAGTCAGCCTTTTTCTTGACAGTTTAAAAATACAGACCTGTAATGAAAATCCTGATACCATAAATGGGCTTATTCATTAAGGAAATCTTGCTTCTAAAGGTATTTTAATCTCTTGGCATTCCAGCTAAAGCAATTATTTTTTTATTTATTAAATTTGTTTCCTGCCCTTCTTCCCAAAGGGTGGCAAATATATAAGCAATGGAACAATGAAATTATTTTTTTTTAAATAATATTTATTAAAAGTTTAAGAATTACAGAAAAAAGTAAAAAAGAAAGAGAAAAAGTAAACAATACAAATCAATACAATACAGTACATATAAAAGAAACAAAAGACACAATACATCAAAACAAAAACAAAAGCAAAAACAATTAAAAACACATCCAATATTTCCATATCTTTATCTTTCATTAACTTGTTTCATCGACCTCCTCACACCTCCCTTTTTGTGTTCTAGTTATTAATTATTTCAGCAAATCCTTTCCATCTTTCACTGTTTTCTGTCATTTAATTATCTTAATTTATTTTAACCTTATCTTACCATTAAAACCCTAAAGCTTATTTATACTTAACTCCTTATAACATCTCTACTAAAGCCGTATAATTTCATTCCAACATTTTTCTAACACTCATTAATTTTGCAATATTTCTCTAAATAATTTTTTTTAAAAAAAACTTTTTTTCCAATCTTCTTCCACCGTCTCTTCTCCCTGGTCTCGGATTCTGTCAGTCCTTTCCATCAATTCCATATGGTCCATCAACCTGGTGAACTTCTGTCCGAGGCTCTTAACTCTTTTCCATGTCCCTTCTGCAGATTTTCTTCATATTTATACATGCACTTTACTTTATCTTCTGCTGATCTTGTTCTTAATTTCCTTCCTTTGGCACTGAGGAGTAGATCTCGGGGAAACTCCAACCTAACAATGTCTTTATTCCTTCTCGACAGGTCAGCCCATTCTCCATAGTCAGAACTAAAGTCCAAAAAATATTTCAGAGCGTGTTTCAGAGTCCCTCCAAAGCTAAAGGCCCCCACAACTCCAATCTCCCCCTGACCCAAATCCAGATCCCAAAAGCCAGAACATCCCTGCATAAGGGGATCTATCCAACTTTCCTTCTCCAATCCAAGCGGGGCTCCATCCCACCAAATCTGGCTTTCTCTAGATTCAATCGTAAAAGGCAACAGCTTATGTTCATCAAATTGCCTCTGTAAGGCCGGGGCTCTCTCCACTTGAATTACTTGAGGTTCAACAACAACTTTCTCCTTCGTCTTCTCCACAGCTTGCCATGTCAAAACAGATTCCTGAATCAATTCCTGAGTAGTTTCTGTATAGGTATTCACTTTTTGTCCCAAATCAGTCAATTTGTCCCAAATTGTCAATTTTAATAATAATCACATCCGTCTTCTCATGAAGCTGTTCCAATAAAGCACTTGTCTTGCAAAATGCAATCACTAAGGCTTCTTCTGTCAACATTCTTGTCCAAGGTCAATCTCTGATTCTCACGGTCTTTAATCTCTGCAGCTGGAAAATTCCCCAGCTCCACTCCTGCAACAGTTTCAAAAGCTCCCTCTAGGGGAAACAATTTCTATTTGTATCCGTCCTTTTAAGCGCAGATCCAGCAACAAAGTTAGTTTCGATTTTCAGTTACTTTTTTGCTCCTTTTTAAGTGCAAAAGGAAACAATGGAAACAATATATTTCTCTTATTTAACTGTCTATCAACATACGTTTTATTCACAGTCAATGAACTTTCCCAAAACGTCGCTCTTACTGGCAGCCCGTTCCCAGGTTCAAAATGGTGGTAATTTATCTTTCTTCACTCCCTCTCCTGCAGGCTTAGGCAATCTAAAATTTCCCCCCTCTTCTCCTGCTTCCGAGGGGGGTTTAGTAATTTTAACCGATGGAGATTTAATCCTTTACAAAAGGCTTTCCAGGCTTTAGCTTGCAACGTCTTTGCTTCAATCTATTTACAAAAGAGGAAGGCGGACTTCCTGTTTGAAACCTTCCTGTTTTGGTGCCAAATTAAGATGTTTAGAGATCCAATTTTCCGTTCTACTCACGGGTAGTTGTTTAGAGTCCAATTGTCCACAGGAAAAAGTCAGTGCTCTCCGGCAACAGCAATGCAGCTTCACTCCGTGAAAGAAGCAGTCAATTCGAAGCACCGCGCCGCTCACCCCACGTCGCTCCGGATCCCTGAAACCGGGTTTCCCCACGAGTAGGGGAGGCGCAAAAGGTGCCAGCCGAATCCCACGTCCACAGGCTTCTCCCGCCTGTGGTTTTTAGTGGGTCTCCGCCTTGCCATGGCGGTCCAGACCCTGATTTCCACGGAGCAGATTCCTCCTGATCAGAGGAAATCCGCCATTGCCGGAGGCGCTAACCCAGAAGTCCGCAATGGAACAATGAAATTAAACCTCAGGCAGTGGAAACGAAATGTGCTGTCCTGGCTACAGTTCCTTCCTAGTGGTGGCACCAGCTGTTTCATAGTTTCCCAGAATTAGTTAGCTGGCTTAGAACTCCACGTGATTGCCTTTTGACTGGGAAGTTACTGAGGCAACTTGAATCTTTGCTCAGGAACCTCAAAGGTTATTCCTATAGAAGTCTCAGTAATTAGGCTAGCCAGCTCAAAACTCACTGAAACAATAAACAGTGGCTTCTAAACCATGAAGTGGGGCTACACCACTGCAAGCCCAGGTCCCTCCATCACCAATTTGAGTACTCTGAAGGGATGTGAGAAATCTGAGTAGAAACGGAAGGGAGAAGCAGACGGTCACAATGATCAGCAGCCCATTAGCTTGATGTCAGCTGTAGGTGCCAAGCTGAGCAAAACAGGTAGGTAAAGGTAAAGGGACCCCTGACCATTAGGTCCAGTCGTGACCGACCCTCGGGTTGCGGCGCTCATCTCGCTTTATTGGCCGAGGGAGCCAGCGTACAGCTTCAGGGTCATATGGCCAGCATGACTAAGCCGCTTCTGGCGAACCAGAGCAGCGCACGGAAACGCTGTTTACCTTCCCGCTAAAGCGGTACCTATTTATCTACTTGCACTTTGACGTGCTTTCGAACTGCTAGGTTGGCAGGAGCAGGGACCGAGCAACGGGAGCTCACCCCGTCGCGGGGATTCAAACCGCCAACCTTCTGATCGGCAAGCCCTAGGCTCTGTGGTTTAACCCACAGCGCCACCCGCGTCCCAGCTACTGTAATCCAAATTAGAACGTTCCTCAGTCTCTTTCCCATTCACTTCTGCCACATCTTCACATCTGGATTCAACTGCTGTTGGCTTCGCGTAGTGTCCATATCCCCTTCAATTAAGCTTCTTAATCCGGAGAACAAACCAACCCCAGCATGAATTTTGAACACTATTATCATATAAGGTTCGTGCCCTTTCTTCATTGCAGTTCAAATAACAGGCCCAAATACATTTTCCATGCTTGCGCATTATCTTGCAAACCAGACTTTGCTGGGGTATGGAGAAACATGCATACTGCAATCGGTCCCAGAGAGATATACTTGTTTTACAGAAATGCGTAAATAAATTAATAAATGGGGGGTTTGGTTCTGGCTGCCTTAGTAATGTAAAACTCTCCTAGAGCTTATTTTAATAATAAAATCCTTCAGCAGCTTATTGCTAAGAAATGGGCATGTCGCAGCAGCGTAGCTCGGCTTTACAAGAATGAGCCGCTATGAGCACTGAGCTCAGGCATTCTCCTCCTTCTCCTTCTCCTTCTCCTACACACACAAAATTCAAAGCTCCCTATTTTTGTTCTTAATAAATTGCAGTCCTTACATCGAAACTTGGTTTATTCCAACTGAGGTTTAGTTAACAAACCAGGATCTGGAAGCATGCATTTGATCCAAGTCTGTTGAAAGCAATCACCTTTAAAGTTTGGAATAAACTGCAGTTTCCTGATAGGACCAAATGGAAAATGGAAGCTTTCTATCTCCTCCTTTGGGGGAGTCCAAAGCTTGCTGGAACTTACTGATCATAATGTTTGGCATTATGAGAATATCAGCTGGCCCAAACAGATTGATAGCTGACTGTATCTGCTTACAGAAGTTAACAGGAGATATAGCACCTTTATCAGCACTAAGCAAACTATCTCAAAGTAGTGAGCAAGCTTTCAGGTTCCCTGAAACTCCTCTTCAAGATAGATGTTAAGTAGAAGGGGGAACCCAGAAGAAACTGCCGTTCTCCCTGTGAAAATATAAGGAACCAACAGCTACAGTGGTACCTCGGGTTAAGTACTTAATTCGTTCCGGAGGTCCGTTCTTAACCTGAAACTGTTCTTAACCTGAAGCACCACTTTAGCTAATGGGGCCTCCTGCTGCTGCCGTGCCACCAGAGCACGATTTCTGTTCTCATCCTGAAGCAAAGTTCTTAACCCGAGGTAATATTTCTGGGTTAGTGGAGTCTGTAACCTGAAGCGTATGTAACCTGAAGCATATGTAACCCAAGGTACCACTGCATTAGGATTGATTTGTAGCTCTGATCAGAGCTCATGGGTCCCTTGAAAAGTCAGAGAGCAAAATGAAGTCCGGTAGCCCTTAGTTTAGCAAACCTGATAGGAACCAAGTTGAGTAGTATTATTGTTGGTGGTGGGCATGTAATCCCCATAAAATAACCCCACATGGGGATTATGTACCCTCCAGCCACTAGGCCCCATACACACTTAAAACAGACAGACAATATACTCTCCAAGATCATCAGAACAGTACCATTAATTTGATAAGCCTGGGCAGTGTGACTCAGTACATGGGAGACAGATTTGGCTCTGGATCTGACAGGGCCAAGTTCACATGCCTCTGCTATGGGCACAAGGATCATGTTGGCAAGTGATGCTTAGCACCATGAGGATGAGCCTCAATTAGCTTGAGGAAAGCACCATGACCCTCTCCTCTCTGTGGTCGGAAGAAGGACTTCTGCTGAAGTGCTTTGTGCACCACACGAACCAGGGATCCTGGCTTAAGACAAACTCTGGGTAGTTTGATAAACCTGCTTCATAGCGCATGGTGTGGCTTAGCACGAAACTCACCAGAGCTTGTTTTAAAGCAAGATGCCCGATTCATGTACGATGCTAGGCAGAGATTGTTTTAAAGTTTAATTCAATTCAGCAATAAGGGTAGAAGCGAGTATGCAAGCCCAACAACTATGTTTGAACTCTTTGAGGCTCGTCCATGTAGCACTAAACCACAGTTTAGCATTGCAAAGGAACCGGGCCTATAAAATAGGTTAGTTCTCCCATATAAAACTCCTCATTTGCATGCGATCAGCACGCGAACACTGTTTCCGGTACTGCAAGGGGGCAGCGTGGAGCAGGATGGTCTTATGCACATCCCACTGACGTGAATGCAACCCCCACATAAATGGGGAGTTGCCCTTAGTGCAAACAGAACCAGTTTGCAAACACTGTCATGTACATATGATCCACAGTATAGGAGAAGCAGAAAACTGCACTCTCTGCTAACCACCACAGACTACCAACCTGTGTACATTCCTTCTTACTGAACTTTGGTCTTTAGATATGCATAAACAGAGACATACTCCAGGACAGAAGTCCACAGGACCCGTGCTGTTAATCTTTATTAATACAGCAGCTTGCAGAAAACTTTGTGCTGATGACTTCATATAAAGTTTGCCTCGCGTCGGAAAACACCACCTTAACTGATTTACTGCATATTAAATACACATACAGCTTAAGACCCATTAATTTGATTTTAATACACAAACTGCTAGGAAACTGCACTTTCAGGGTGAACTACTGAAACTTTTGGCACTTGCATTTCCAAGAGGTCAACTGTCATTGTGAATGTGAATATGATATAGATTAACTTAAAATATCCTCAGTCAGCAGAGTTCTATACTAAAGTCATGTTGGTTTCCCCCCTCCTCCCCAGACCTTCATGGTTCACCCTTCACTTTAGCAGCCCTGAGCCCTCAGCAAGAATCACTGCCAGACACCAGCAAATCTGCAATGTTACGAAGGAAAAGCATTCATATCCATAGACACATGGTCCCCAAGGCTATTTGCAATAAATAAATACATGAACAGGCTTACGCGCATCCACTGAATTTAAAGAAGCTAAAGTCAGAGTGCTGTGTGTCGCAATAAAATGCATATAAACATTTTATAAAGCGGCTGAGCAAACAATAAACACACAAACAAAACCACTGAGAAGCCAACATGGTGTAGTGGGAAAGCTCCACCCACTGGGCCACATGAGGCCCAGCCATTTCCCACAAGCCACACCCACCTGTCCCAAATAGATGACATCATATGACATCAGGTGTGTGTGACAGGTAAAGAAACAGTTTCAAAAAAGGAGGACTGCCAGTTGTTCACTGAAGTCTTTTAAATTTAGAACTGAATGCAAGTGCCACTGGGATCTGCTTCATTCAGGAATGAACTTGGCAACACCTGATCAGAAGCTCCCAAGTGCAGCCAACTTGGCACCAAGTGCATGGGAATAATGTGTTCCCAGTGTCCCAATCCTGCAAGGAATCACTGATCTTCAATTCTTTCAAAAACCAGCCCCAGGGTAATTTGTTGCAGTTTGAGGCATCATAGCTCTACTGAAGGTTAGAGCGCATCCTTTGTAGTTAGAAGGTCCCATGTTTAAACCCTGGCATGTTCGATTAAAAGGATAAAGGTAGAAGATGATGGGGAAGACCTCCAAGCATGAGACCTTGGAGAGTCACCAACACTCTTGCCAGACCGTTGCAACCAAGACCTGATAGACAAGGCCATTAGCATCTGGTAGAGCTGGTGAGAAATATGTAGTTTCAGAACCACCGCTGCAAACTGAAAAGGCATTCTTAGACCTAGAAGCACCCTGCGGCTTCAAAGCTGACACGGAATCATAATCCTCAACCTGACCAACCAATTATTTCACAATTCACTGGGCTTATTAGTTTCAGCTGGCCAACCCACACCCAGTCAGTTGATTACATCAAAAGATTTGATTCCTCACATCACCTGCAGCTGGAGAAAGAAAAAGAAAGAAAAGTTTTACTGTTGTGTTATAGCAGTGTCTGAAACTCATATATATCAGCTAGGCGCCAAATGGCTCCTTAAACCAAGTTAAAAGGTAAAGGTAAAGGACCCCTGACAGTTAAGTCCAGTCATTAACGACTCTGGGGTTGCGGCGCTCATCTTGCTTTACTGGCCGAGGGAGCCAACATTTGTCCGCAGACAGTTTTTCTGGGTCATGCGGCCAGCATGACTAAGCCGCTTCTGGTGAAACCAGAGCAGTGCACGGAAATACCATTTACCTTCCTGCCACAGTGATACCTATTTATCTACTTGCACTGGCATGCTTTTGAACTGCTAGGTTGGCAGGAACTGGGACCGAGCAAAGGGAGCTCACCCCATCACAGGGATTCAAACCGCCGACCTTCCAATCAGCAAGCCCTAGGCTCAGTAGTTTAGTCCACAGCGCCACCCTCTCAAAACCAAAGTTACAATCACCAAAACGGAATGTCTGGTTGCCATTTTGGGGACAAGACGGCTCTAAAGTCTTGTTTTTCAAATGTCAAACTGATTGATTAGACATCTGTCTTTGTTCAGATGACAACCTTGAGCTAGGTTAAGAGCTTTGAGAACTTGAAGAAAAGTCACTTGATCCAGGGACAGTCCACATATATATTGGCCGATTCCAAGCTCTTTTTCTTAATGGTAACTGCTCCTGATCAGGCTGCACAGAAAAAGCAATTTGGTTCCAGAAATCCATTCCAATTTTACAGATAAAATATAACTGATATAATTCTACAGGATGTGGTATTAGTGTGTGAAAACAGTCCAGATCCAATGATCTCTAGGCATGCACTTCCAGATGGTGGAGATGTCAGGGGCCATCCCAGCACCCAGGAATCTTCACTTGGTCAAAAGTGGTCTTAAGCCAGGTGCAAAATGTGCCTGGCATCTGGCTAATTTCTAACACTGCAGTGGAAATGAACTGCCTGTGCATTATATATTGCAGATAAGGTGTTCACTGGTGGATTTGTTTTTTAATGATATAGGTGGGAAAGCAGCTTGTCATTGGTGACTACACAGGTACTGGCCAATGGGTACTCATATTTTTTTGTTCAGCCGTATTTCATGCAGCATTTGCCTCCCAAACAGAGAGGAAGAATTAGCTAAGGCAGGGGTCGGCAAGGTTGACCTCGCCTGGGCTGGTTCACTCCAGTGGAGTTCCCTCCGTGGGCCAGATCTCAGGTATGTGTGAGTGCAGGCGCCCGCCATTTCCGGCATCTACGTCTGCACAGATTCTATTTTTGGCACCGGCACCACAGTAGCGAGTCCCCGCGCCGCACTGGTTTAGCACAGGGCACGGGGACTCGCCAAGCAGGCAGCTTGGTTCAGGGGCAGCTCAGGGGCCAGTTAAACAACCCCCGTGGGCTGCTTGTGGCCCATGGGCCTTAGGTTGCCAACCCCTGAGCTAAGGGAATACAGTCATACCTCGGGTTACAGATGCTTCAGGTTGCATTTTTTCAGGTTATGGACGCTCCGAAACCCAGAAGTACCTGAACGGGTTATTGTACTTCCAGGTTTTGGAGGTCGCACATGCACAGAAGTGCTAAATCGCACTTTGCGCATGCGCAGAAGCGCCGAATCACAACCCACGCGTGTGCATCCCGCATGGATCACATTCACAACCAGCGCGTCCACCGTAGTGGCACTTTTTTCCCTAGTATCAACAACTCATGGTTATTTCTGTGCTGGGAAATGAGATCTCTCTACAAGAGACAATTTTTCTGGGTAAGAGAGATCTGGAGCCCATTAAATAAAAACCACCTGACTGCCAATCTATTGCACAACAAAGCCATTGTCTGCAATGCAACTGCATTCTTCCCCAACCAGCTTTTCACAGTGCTGGCTTTATATTTAGCCTCAGCCAACTGGTTTTGCTGCTCACTTTGAAGGCACCCTCCCGAGACACAGTTGGGACCAGTCCCAGGCTCAGTGTTTTATATTTAAGCAGGAAACCATCTGTGGCACCTCCCACACTTGCCTAATGTCATAGCCTGATTTAGTCACAGCTTCTAACTGGAAAATTAAAAGCCAATGCCAACTCAGACCCATATTATCTTGCTATAAAACCGTACCATAAAAAAACTAATGAGTCCCTGAGCTCTTTCTAACACCAGTTGCTGAACTTTGCGACAGTAGAGTTGACCACATTGCCATAATTGGTCCAAGTCATTGCTGCCATGTATGGAAGTGCTCAAGAAAACCAGCACGTCCATATATTAAGATGCTAAATGAAGACAGATCAAGGAAGGAGATCCAATATGGCAAGTAGCAGGATCATGCCGCACAAAGAATACCAACCTTCCTTAATGGGAAGAGTTTATTGCGGGTGTTGTGGTTATCTTGGTTTTAGATTAACAACATTCCTTATTTCTTCTGCAACAGTATTGGAAAGCAGCCCTTAAAAAAGTGCTATGCAAAAAGTCATTTTTTTGTCTTTTTTACAAAATATTTATTTTACAAAAATTCAGGTCCCCAAGGCAAATTCCAAGTTGAATCCGCAAAGCATAATAAATCAATTAAAAAACTAAAACAGCAGCATGAAAAGGCATACAACAACTGATTCTGAATATTGTTGACACTCAACTCCAAATCCACAAGATACCTCCCTCAGCACTTTCATGTGGATGTGTTAAGCATCCCTGGGTGAGGTATAAAATCCCAAAAGCAGAAGGGCCATGGTGTGTTGAGCAACAATCCCCCAGCAATACCTTCTGATACCTACCCACCAGGTAAGTCCAGAACTGCCACAGAACAGTACCTCCAAGTCCCATTCCTGACAGAGGCCCCAGTTAGTTACTTACTTACAGAAGGACACTGTGGTTAAATCTATCAAAAGAAGAAGAAGAGGAGGAGGAGGAGGAGGAGGAGGAGGAGGAGTTTGGATTTGATATCCTGCTTTATCACTACCCTAAGGAGTCTCAAAGCGGCTAACATTCTCCTTTTCCTTCCTCCCCCACAACAAACACTCTGTGAGGTGAGTGAGGCTGAGAGACTTCAGAGAAGTGTGACTAGCCCAAGGTCACCCAGCAGCTGCATGTGGAGGAGCGGGGAATCAAACCTGGTTCACCAGATTACGAGTCCACCACTCTTAACCACTGCACCTAACTGGTCCTCCAACCATGTACATTAATAAATGTCCTAAATCCTTTCAGGAAACTAACTGTCCAAGGTAATAGATATTTCAAACCCCGCCCCAGACAAGGGGGCCTTGGAATGGATGCTGAAGTCCCCCTGACCAACTAAGCCGGGGGGACATTAAAACCATCCCTGGGACCCCCTCTGCTAGCTCAGGTAGGGAGACTGTTGATCAGGATGGGGGGGGTGCAACTTGTAGAGATAATTAACAGCAAGTTACCCAAGTTTTAGAACTCCTTCCACTGTCAGTTTTCCCATAGTCCATCTTAGATGGCAAGCTCATTGGGCAAGCTCATCTATCAGACCATGCACACCAATGCTGTTGTGAATATGCAGCTGAATAAATAAGGAACTATAAGGCATAGAGAACTCTAGAGCAGTGTTTCCCAACCTTGGGCCTCCAGCTGTTTTCTAACTACAATTCCCATCATCCCTGACCACTGATCTTGCTAGCTGAGGATTATGGGAGTTGTAGTCCAAAAACAGCTGGAGGCCCAAGGTTGGGAAATGCTGCTCTAGGGCTCATATCTTTCAAACCAGCACTGCCGCCTCTTTGTACCACTCCCATTTGATAAAAATGAATCCACCTTAAATTCAGGAATCCTTATTTCGTTTAATTATTCATTCACCTTCCAAAAAACAACAACACTGTTATCGTTTTGCTGATATAGGCTAAGTGCTGCTTCTCTGACCTGTAGCAAGCAGAGTGGATGAGCTTGGTTTAAGTTAGCGTTAGTGACAATATTCAACATCTTTTAATATCCAAGCACCTCGTATCTGTTGGGTTTAATCTCATAACATGTGCCATTGTTCTCTTTAGAGAATGGGAAACAAGCTGCAAAAAGCTGAGGCTGCGCATCAACAGCCTCTGGAATAAAACACCGAGAAAAGGAGCTGATAGGTTTCTAAACCAATTCCTCAGCCTCTCGCTCATATGTGGGAAACTCTTATATTAAGAATAAAAATGTACATATTTCTTCATCCGTTTGCTAAGCTTCCACTTGCCCACCCAAAAAAATATCTCCAGCCTCACTGTAGCTATAGGATCATCCAACTTGATGCAGTTACTTCAAATCTGGTTACTCCTCAAGGAGGCTTGCAAACTACCATTTTATGTGGTTTCCTGCAGCAAGAAAGGATCACATCCAAGCAACCAGGAACTAGGGAGGAGACATTTGAAATCAGATTGTTAAATTACTCTCATTTTTCTGCTTTCTTTCAGACCATCAGGCCACTTAAGATTGCCTACCTACCAGGCCTGGGCGATATACAGTGGTAAAGGTAAAGGGACCCCTGACCATTAGGTCCAGTCGTGGCCGACTCTGGGTTGCAGCACTCATCTCGCTTTATTGGCCCTGGGAGCCGGCGTACAGCTTCCGGGTCATGTGGCCAGCATGACTAAGCCGGTTCTAGCAAACCAGAGCAGCACACGGAAACGCTGTTTACCTTACCTTCCGGAGCGGTACTTAATTTAGCTACTTGCACTTTGGCGTGCTTTCGAACTGCTAGGTTGGCAGGAGCAGGGACCGAGCAACGGGAGCTCACCCCATCGCGGGGATTTGAACCACCGACGTTCTGATCGGCAAGTCCTAGGCTCTGTGGTTTAATCCACAGCGCCACCCACGTCCCCACATACAGTGGTACCTTGGTTGTTGAACTTAATCCGTTCTGGGAGTCCGTTCGACTCCCGGAACTGTTTGAAAAACAAGGTGCAGCTTCTGATTGGCTGCAGGAACTTCCTGCACATACAGTCGCACCTTGGATCCCAAATATCTTGGTACCTGGACGTTTTGGCTCCCGAAAACCGAAAACTCAGAAGTGACTGTTCCGGTTTGCGAATGTTCTTTGGAACCTGAACGTCCGACGGGGCTTCCAATTGGCTGCGGCAGCTTCCTGCAGCCAATCAGAAGCTGTGCTTTCGTTTCTGAACGTTTTGGAAGTCGAACACACTTGCAGAATAGATTCCGTTCGACTTCCAAGGTATTGTGAAGTTAAAACCGCTTTTCGAAGAGAAATGAGGGATTTGTTCTGGAATTACTTTTGTTGTTCTCACAGACTGCAGTTAAGAAATGGACAGAGAGATGCAAAAGGTGGAAGAATTTCAATCCTGAAAGAATCTGGCAAAGACCTCTGCTTGAAGATGGAGCACACAGATGTTTCAGGCCAGGCACAGCACTATGTACTTTCTAATATCAGACAACATTCGCATTATATTAGTTTGCTCACTGAATTGATTCACAGTGAATCCTATGCATATCGGGTTCAGAAATGAGCCCGAGGGAATTTAATGGTTGCTTACTCTGAGGTCAGTGTATATAGGACTGCAGGTTCAGTCCCAGTTCCAAAATCTCTTAGTTCACAGTTGGCTTTATGTACCAGGAAAAAAATTATGAGTTCTTTGTAATCAAAGAACTATAAATCAGAGATATAAATCTTGAAAAGTTACTTCTTTGAAAGAGTAACAAAACAGGAATTACTACTCCACACGTATTTTAATATAACTTATCTATGACAGAAATGATTTGAGATAGTAGAAGTCTAAGACATTTTACTAAGTCAAGGACAAAAGTAAAATGACAAGCATTAATATACTTCATTCTATATTAACTGAATTAAGCAAGCTCTGTGTGAGATAATATATTAAGTCTCCACAGTGCCTATGGAATACAAACATCTAGGGACGTGAAGAGTGTATTTGACACAGAACTATTGTACCAGCTCATATTATGCAACACAGATATGAGGAGGTGTAGAGAGCATTTTAATTAGCTGACAGCCTTCACCTAAAGTGTAAAGCCAGAATACATCAAGCTGTTCCATATCGTTATTGCTACAAACAGAACGGATTTTTTTTTAACCTCTTGCTGATTATTTTTGTTCCATTATTAACAGACTGGGAGTGGGGATTAAATTAAAAACTAAGGATGCCTTTGGATCTTATGATTTATGTGGAAATTGTTTGATTTGGTTGCGTACTTTTCGATGCTTTGTTTATTGTTTATGGCTGCTTTTTGTTATGTTTGTAGTTATGTAATTCTTTTATATAGGTCGTAAACAGCCTTGAGCATGGTTTTAACTTTAGAAAAGTGGTATATAAATAAAACGACTGAACATCAAAAGCGGCGATTAAAATGCTAATGCTAATAATTTTACTAGCTGTCTAGTATTTTTATGTATCACACACACCATGGCGATTTGTGTGGTATTGAAAACGGCTTCTCATAACAGAAGTTTTAGGGATTGGAAGCAGGGTTTTCCAAACTTGTGTCTCCAGCTGCTTTTGGACTACAACTCCCATCATCCCTAGCTAGCAGGACCAGTGGTCAGGGACAATGGGAACTGTAGTCTAAAAACAGCTGGAGACCCAAGGTTGGGAAATCCTGGATTAGAGCAATCATGTTAAGGGTTCTACTTAAATTGGTATATTCCATTCATTCCATTTCTGCTTAGCTGGCTCACAAACTCAAAAAAAGCGGACTGATATTCTACACAGACCTTTTAATTCCTGCAGTGTGGCAAACAGTTAATGCATCACAACAACAGTGGTTAATTTGTATAGAGCATGTGCCCTAGGGAACTGCTCATTTTTAAAACTTAACTGATAATTTATAACCAGGCTTGTAGCAAGAAGCAAATTCTGAATACATTAGAAACTGAGGGGATGACAACTGAATACAGTCAATAAACAATGGTCACGTGCTTCAAACATCTCGCACTGAAATTTACAAGACCTAAAAAGGTCTCTCTTTGACTAGATGATTCATTTATTATTTTGTTTATCCAATTTATATCTGTCTCTTCCTACCAAAGAAGCCCAGGGTGGATTGTGCCACAAATTATGGACCTACCAGGTTTACTTTTAAAAAATGATTACGATGCACTCTATTCTACTGCAAAAGAATCACGTCTTCAAAAATATCTCAGATCTTGAAGGAAGCAAATGTGTCTATAGCGCAGTGCCATTTTACACATCAGTTCCCACCAAGCTGTATGTCAACGGAGCTAAACTATTCACTCAGATATGGGCCTACAAGCTAACAACAGGATGCTGGGTTGATGCCAATAAACAATTACCATGGTCGCAACATCTCCTTCAGGAGACCTAACAACCACCACCCCCCTCTGCATCATAACCAACATTCAACATTTCCCCAAGTTTCAAAAGCGGCTTTTTAAGCCAAGCATATTGGGAAAAGTCAGGAACCCAACTGAGAAACACAATGGCTCAGTGGATATCAGGGCTGGGGAATATCTGTTTTTCAACATTGCAATATATTACCAGCGTTCGAAACTCCCGTTGTTCTAGGAGCGTTTTGCGACAAGGAATTTCACTAGCGCGAGCAGTTTCTGAGGTCTGGGAAAAGTGCTGCGCCTAAGATTTCAGATTAAAACAGCAGAGTGGAGGGAAAGGACATTTGTCTGCCTCCCCCTTCCAGCCACTCTCTGAAGACTGGAGAAGAGACCCCCTTAGGGGGGTGGGCAGAAAAAGTATGGCTTTGTTTTTTACAGTCTTCAGAGGTGGACTAGAGTCTAGAACATGTGAAAAATGAATGTTAAGATTTTAGCTGCAGTTCATTCATTTTTCAGGTCCAGTCGTGGCTGACTCTGGGATTGCGGTGCTCATCTCGCTTTATTGGCCGAGGGAGCTGGCGTACAGCTTCCGGGTCATGTGGCCAGCATGACTATGCCCTTCTGGCGAACCAGAGCAGCACACAGAAACGCTGTTTACCTTACCGCCAGAGCGGTACCTATTTATCTACTTCCACTTTGCCGTGCTTTCGAACTGCTAGGTTGGCAGGAGCAGGGACTGAGCATCACGGGGATTCGAACCACCAACCTTCTGATCAGCAAGTCCTGGGCTCTGTGGTTTAACCCACAGCATCCCATCGAAATGGAGGTTACGAAACATTAATTCTGAACTACTGTAATCAATACATCGGACCCAAATACAGTGGTGCCTCGGGTTAAGTACTTAATTCGTTCCAGAGGTCCGTTCTTAACCTGAAACTGTTCTTAACCTGAAGCACCACTTTAGCTAACGGGTCCTCCTGCTGCCACCACGCCGCCGGAGCAAGATTTCTGTTCTTATCCTGAAGCAAAGTTCTTAACCTGAAGCACTATTTCTGGGTTAGAGGAGTCTGTAACCTGAAGCGTATGTAACCCAAAGTACCACTGTATCTGAAATATTGTCTCCTTCCCTTCTTCAGTGTTAAGAACAGCAGAGAGAGCCCAGGAGAGGCCTTTCCGTGGCATCCCCCGAGGTGCGCATCTGTCACCTACTTAATGTAGTTTTTATTGTATACACATATTTACTCTGTGGTTTGACACCTCAGATATATAGGTTAGGACCTACTCAGTTCTCTTGGTTGTAATCTGTTTCAACTGTTTTTAATATTATATTTTTAGATTGCTGTAACCCTCCCTGGGATCTTGTAATGAAGGGCAGATAAGAAATCTAATGAATAGCAGCAACAGAAGTGTTCCATGTTATTCAGGGATGTCCCTATGCATTTAATAGGGAACATTTTCCACTTGATTTTTTTATTTTGGATGGGGGGGACCTTTTAACACAGCTCATCACAAAAGGTTCCAACGGGACTTAATAGTCATAAAAATAATAATAACAACAACATTAGATCCTTAACTGCTTAAGAAACAGTGTGTGTGTAGGAACAAAATTTCAGGGTCCACAAACAGCACACTCTCCTAGGATCTACATTCAAACCAGAACAGGTGGGTTTATGTTGAGTCAGCAGTAGACAGTGAGGCAGCCAGGTGTGTAGACATCACCCAATTATACAGGATGGTGAATATTCAAGGGTGAGCAACTCCACTAATTTCTTCAAACTCAAAAAATCAGCAGATCATAAAGTACGGTATAACTCTAAAGCAGTGTTTCCCAACCTTGAGTCTCCAGCTGTTTTCGGACTACAATCCCCATCATCCCTGACCACTGGTCTTGCTAGCTAGGGATGATGGGAGCTGTAGTCGAAAAACAGGTGGAGACCCAACATTGGGGACAGTGCTCTAAAGTAATACACACTGGGATGTAATCTTAACTTTAGATAGACACTACTTAAATATTACAAAAGCAAACAAACCTGTTATCTACCAACCAAACAGATCAAAGAATCAAGGTAGGAAGGAAACCGAAAGAATGATAGCCATGTAAATTTATGAAAGTTAACAGGGAAATGGATTGAAACGGCAGAGGAGCAGGTTATCATAAGATAACAGCATGCCCATACTGTGCTAGGAAATAGTGCTTCCAGTCTGCATCAGAAAGGAAATTGCAAAGAAACAGAAAAGGCGCATCAAAGACCATTGGTTCTCGCAAGCTTTTTCAAAAGAATTATATTTAAGATCGTTGTGTAGAATCTATGTCCCCATCTGAAATTTAAACACTGACTTAGAAAATCCCAGTTCCCAGTAAGGAAAAGAATGACTATAAAGATCAGCAGCCAGTAGTTCCTGGACCAAATCCAGCCTCCTAAAAGGAGTTGCCTGCCTCCCTTTCCCAAGTTGCCATTTCAAAAATCAAAGAGACATGGAGTATACATGACAGCCAGCCTTGCTAGCAGGTCAGACAGGGAGCAGGGTCAGAGTCTTGGCCACCATAACCCCTTTTCTCATGCTGCCTCTCCAGCAAAATGAGTGGCTAGCCAAGGGTATACGTTCTGTGCTGAATCGAATAAACATTTCTGCAAATTTACTGTTTTCAGCAGTTATTAAAGTTATTTGCTATTGAAACAAAGGAAGATACATACATACATACATACATACATATATACATACACACAAACATACACACACACACACAAACATAATATATATAAAATATCTTAGGAAAACAGAAACCTCAGCTCTGATAAATTAAAAAGAAAAAAGCAGCAATCAGCATTACATTCTCCTACAGATGGCTGCAAAAACATGGCACACATTTTTCCCCTTCACAGTGGCTGTCTCCAACTGCATGCCCACAAAAGTCAGAGTGACTTTACAAGGGGCAGATTGCTCTTAATAATGCACCAGGAAGCTATGCAAACCAAAAGAATCAATATTGTCAAACCCTAGCTTTTTATGCACATGAAATACAAGATTTTTTTTCTCTTCACCCAGTGAGTATTAAATGGAACAAATTTTGTTTTTTTCCCCCGGGAGTGGGGAGCAAACGGGCAGAAGAATATTGTGTTGCAAGACTGTACGCAGTTACCTGGGAGTAAGCCCTACTGAACTAGGATTCGGGTCAACTGAGAAGTGGTATGTATAGGATTGTGCTGCGGAACGTTGAATATTTCCTTCCATCTTTCCACTAATATGTCATTTGTAGCGGAAATTGAGCCATTTTGCGCACAACAAATGCCATTGATCTTACCACCATACGAACAAGTCCAACTCTTAGTCAGTCAAAATGACAAAAAAAAAATCAAACAAAAATTTTTAGTCGCTAGCATCCAACCACAACCACGCAAAAGTCTAGAAGAGTAAAAATAAAAATACAGTTGATAGCACAATCCTAACTTTGTCTACTAAGAAGTAAATTCGATTGCAGATAAATTGGTGTTAGGATTGCAGTTACCTACTTCCAGGTAAACTGGGGTTAGGACTGCAGCTTTCAACTCTAAAGAAAAAGTGACAGGACAAACGTTTTGACAGTGTATTTATCCCAGAAGAGATGGGATAATTAAACACAGGAACCAAAAAACTGAAATGTTTTCTGCTGCATACACAACTGTGCAATCTCTGCTTTCAAACTGCAAATTGGGGAAACCATGAAAAACAAGAGTTCCTTTTCTTCTATAAACTTGTATAGACAGGGTTAAGAACCCACTACTCTTTCTCCTAGTCAATCTGAGTGTGAAACAAGCAGTTAATGCAGTCTAATCTTAACTAAAAAGTAAAGAATATCACGATGCATTGAATAATTCAGAATTAATGTTTCATAACCTCCATTTCACTAGTAAGCATGCAGTCAAAACAGCCCAGAATACAAACATGACAGGGTGAATAAAGCATACCAAGAAGGAAAACAGATCAATATTAAGTCTTCAGGACATGCTCCTAATCATTACATAGCCAGTTTAGATATTCCAGATACATGGTAGCCTTGGGAAAAGCTTGCTCACATGCACCACTGCCACATGCAAAATTAAATTCTCAGCATGCACTAGAAAGCCTCAAAAAGCAGAGTCCCGCATACTAGCAGCATAGAACTGTGGCGTTGGAAGGGATCCTGAGAATAATTGAATTCAGGCATAGGCAAACTCAGCCCTCCAGATGTTTTTGGGACTGTGACTCCCATCATCCCTGACCAGTGGTCCTGTTAACTAGGGATGATAGGAGTCGTAGTCCCAAAACATCTGGAGGGCCGAGTTTCCCTATGCCTGATCTAGTCCAACCCATTGCAATGTAGAAATATGCAGCTGTCCCACAACCTGCAACTTTGGCACACAGCACCGGGGTGCCTACACAGCCAATTTCCCAAGTGCTACCACACACATGGCTTCTCAAGCTCTTGTCTTGTTATTATCCCATTGCCACTGGAATCACAGAACTGTAGAGTCAGAAGGAACCACTTGAGTCATCTAGTCCAACCCCCTGCAATGCAGGAAATCTTTTCCCCAACATGGGGCTTGAACCCGCGACCCATGAGATTAGGGTCTCGTGCTCCACCAGCTGAGCTATCCCCTGCATATGGAACAGGTCCAGAGAGTTCAAATTTGGCATATGAATGCGTGCGGGAAGAGCAACCTCTAAAAGAAAGAAAAATCAGGTAAATTAAAGGTAAAGGGACCCCTGACCATTAGGTCCAGTCGCAGATGACTCTGGGGTTGCAGCGCTCATCTCGCTTTATTGGCCGAGGGAGCCGGTGTACAGCATGACTAAGCCGCTTCTGGCGAACCAGAGCAGCGCACAGAAACACCGTTTACCTTCCCACCGGAGCGGTACCTATTTATCTACTTGCACTGGTGTGCTTTTGAACTGCTAGGTTGGCAGCAGCAGGGACCGAGCAACGGGGCTCACCCCGTCACGGGGATTTGAACCGCCGACTTTGTGATCGGCAAGTCCCAGGCTCTGTGGTTTAACCCACAGCGCCACCCATGCCCCTATCAGGTAAGTTAGGGGTGGGGGAAATGGTGTTGATGAACACTTGGAACAGTGTTGGACACCTCCTGAGCAGCCAGCAGGGGGAGACATAGAAGACACCTGCCCTATGGGATCCCACGGGGAAGCCTCGCAGGACAGGGGGAAACTTCCACAGTTCGCCCAGTTTACCTCTGAGTCAAAGAGGGCGGGCGTGGGAGCGAGAGAGGCCGACCCCGAAAGAAGGGCGGGCGGGAAGAGGGGTCAAATCCTTTGGGGCTGAGGAATACGGGGGGGAGGAAGTAGGTCGACCCACTGACCCCCCCAAAAAAAAATGAGACTGAGAGAGGAGCTTCTTCCCACACTTACCTGCTTTGCCAGCCCTGGATGAGGTTGGTGTACTTGCTGAGGGAGCCCTCGAGCACCGCCTCCGTCGTCCTGCCGGCCGCCAGCCCCCCGCTCCCTCCCGGGCTGGCCGCGGCTGAGCTGGGGCTGCTGCTGCTGCCTCCGCCGCCGCCTCCCTCCGGCCTCCCCGCTGGTGGAGCCGCCGCCGCCGCTGCTCCGTGGCGGCCGGAGAGCCCTCCCCGGCTAGCGGAGGAGGACGGCGAGGAGCCCGCCGAGGTGGGGCGGCTGCTGCTGCGGCTGCTGCTGTTACTGCCGCCGCTGGACGGGGCTGCTCCGGAGTCGCCGCCGCCGCCGCCGCCCTGCGCCGCTGCCGCCGCTGCCTTCTCCATGGAGCGAGGAGGCGGCCTCGGCTGCCGACGGCGGGCAGGGAAATACCTGACTCATACGCAAGGGCCGGAGAGAGACCCCAGGGGCAGCCGTCGCCGTCCTCTCCTCCGCCGCCTCCTCCTTCTCCAGGGCTTGCGAAAAGCAGCGTCGGCGTCGGCGACGCTTTGTGTCCGGCGGCGGAGAGATCCGCCCCGTCCCTCGATGTTCTCGCTTCAAGCCCGGCCCCTCAGCCCAGGCGCGCGGCCATGAAGCGCTGCCTCGCTCAGGGAGCGAGCGCGAGGAGACTCCCACCACAGATGGGCGATGCGGGAGGAGGAGGAGGAGGGGACGGAGAAACACCCTTCGCGCCCTTCAGACGGGCGAGGGAGGAGGAAAGGGCTGCTGCTGCTGCTGCTGCTGCTGCTGCCCCGCGTTGCGGCCCTCCTACGCCCCGGTGCGCGTGCTGAGGGGGGAAGGCGCCGCGCTTAGTTGCGCGGGGATGTGCGGAAAGGGAGCATGGTCGCCGGCGACGCGTCTCTCAGAAGCGTCGAGTTGGAAGCGACCCCCCCCACACACACACCGCGAGGGTCGTCTAGTCCGAGCCTTCTCGAGGCAATGGCTTACAGGCGTCACCACCAGTGCTTTTTATCTTTTAAAAAATATGTTTAGAGGTACTCTCATTATCCTACCCATATTGAAAGACTGCCCCTCAATGAGGCCAAACTTAGAGTCACAAAATGGTTAGGGGTATGCGTAACAGTAAAGGAAAAGGGACCCCTGACCATTAGGTCCAGTCGTGGCCAACTCTGGGGTTGCGGCGCTCATCTCGCTTTACTGGCCCAGGGAGCCGGCATACAGCTTCCGGGTCATGTGGCCAGCATGACTAAGCCGCTTCTGGCGAACCTAAGCAGCACACAGAAATGCGGTTTACCTTCCCCTGGAGCAGTACTTATTTATCTACTTCCACTGGCGTGCTTTCGAACTGCTAGGTTGGCAGGAGCAGGGACCAAGCAATGGGAGCTCACCCCGTCGCGGGGATTCGAACTGCCAACCTTTTGATTGGCAAGTCCTAGGCTCTGTGGTTTAACCCACAGCGCCACCCGCGTCCCAGGGGTATGCGTACCCCCAGCGAAAACACTCTATCCAGTGTGGTATTTTCCCCTTAAAAATGTTTAGGGGTACTCTCATTTTCACTCAAGGAAACTACCACTTTATAGTTCAAATTGGGGAAAAATAAATACAGTAAATGGACAAAAGTACAAAGATTCACAAAATGTTTAGGGGTATGCGTACCCCTTGCGTCTCCCCAGAAAAAAAAGCACTGGTCGCTTCAGGGCATAGGAGCCAACTCCCCACCCCCAATAAAATATGTGAGGGAGGCTGTAGCCAGGATTTTTTTGGGGCGGGGGACCGCAGATTTGTATTGATTTGGGAGGCAGCTGTCTCCCCCTACACCTGTCGACCACCCTCCCCGCCCCCAGGTTAATGGGCATTGTAATTCAAATAATGTGGGTGCACCCCATCATGTGATTGATTATACGGGGCAGGGCTTACCTGGGTCTCCTCCCCTGCCCAATAATTTATTCAGGTTGGCACCCCTGCTTCAGGGGATGTTTTAAAAGCAGCCCTTGCCAAAAGCAAAGCCCACATGCACCTGAAAGGTGTGGCCGGTTGCTGGGAGCTAATTTCACAGAATACAAGAGTTGGAAGGGGTTCCTGAGGGTCATCTAGTTCAACCCCTTGAGATGCAGGAATCTCAACACTAGGTCCTCCCAAGTTGAAACTGGACCCTGCTTCGCTTTGCACATGTTCTAGCAGTTTTGTTGCACCACTAGGAGGCCTAAATTCAAAGTAACCATGGGCTCTGGACGTGTGGGGTATGTTCCCCATGGGGCATGAAGCTAAGGTGCTGGTGGGAGGCATTACTTGAATTAAAACAGATGAACAGGGGCTCTGGGTTTATGAATCGCAAAATGCACTGCCACCACCCTACATAATTTGAACTGGGAACTGAATGGGTCTGGTGGGATACAGAGGGTAATAAATAACATTCGATTGCATGAATTAAAACCAAACCGCAACCACTTCTTGAGCACAGGCTTTTGAAAGCGTTAGAATAATGCAACCCTGTGACTATTTGTGCAGCCCATTCCTGTGCTTGTCTACTTGGTGTAAATCCCAATCAGGCCCTGGTCTTCAGGCTGCCTATAGCACATAGCATTTGTTGAGTGCAGGCTTGCACAAAAAAACTCCTTGCAAATAGAAAGCTACCACAGCAAGGAATGAGCTAGGCAAATAGTCCACTGCGATGAGTTTTTCAGAATAACTATTAATGAGCAAATGCCTAGATTTGATTTCATCGGAACTGAGATAAGATGACGTCTGCCAGCAGTGAAATGACTTTTGGATTGATTCGGCATAAACACCAGCGTGTGAGGAGATACCGCAACAATAGGCTTACAAGCTGCAACAATAGGAGAGTCAAGCATACAAAATTCACACAGAAGCACATCATTGCTTACTTCAACTCGCCTGTGGAAACAACTCAGAGGCCATGAAAGAAGGAAGGTTAACAACAGAAAGATTTAAAGGAACTATTGGAAACTCAAGGCAGTAGAGATATAAGATGATCAGAGCCCCCCCGAACTTGAAGCATGGGAAGTCCCAATAAAAATTTATAATTTGGCAGAATATTTGGGCTATATGATATGTATTTGTATAATTTGGAATATTTAATGTGATTTGATTGCATTGTTAAAATGGAAAATTTAATTTAAAAAAATTATTATTTTTTTTAAAAAGAGTTTTTCAGAATAACTGCAACCGTGGTGCTGTCCTCCACACAGTCGTATGTGTGAATCAATACCACGTAGATAAACACGAGAGTGAGTAAAGGAGTTATTAGTCTGTATTTAGTAATGTTTTGGTGCTCATTTAAAAAAAAAATGTGTTAGAACCCTGTAGCATTTTTTTCTAAAATAAATACCAACACCCTTGTATTGTTCATACCGAAGTATATAAATGTTCCTGCTATGCAGGTTGCAATAATGTGCTTGCTGGCAGCCTGGTTCAAAGTATTAGAGTTTCTGCTTGCAGTGCCTTCTTACTGATGTAGCATTGCACTTAAACACTTAATGGATCGATCCATAAGTGTATTAATTGAAGCAGAGGTAAAAGCCTGACCCCATTAAAGCACACAGAGCTTCATGTCAGGATTTCTCCTTCGTTTTGTCTGCAGTTCTGGTCTCCCCCATATCTCTCATGATGTAGCTCGATCCAACCAAATGAGATGTCGGAGATTTGCAGCTTCACAGCAGCTCAGCATTGCAATATATGCTAATAGAAATGTTTAGGATAAACAGAGCCATCTTTCCCATTGGTGTTAGTGGTTTGTTGCGCCAGGGCGCCGGCCTCTCAGGGGCGCCCTAGCGAGTGGGAGAGCTGCGCGGCTTTGCCGGCAGCCTACCCTTTCCCTGCACGCCCGCCAGCTGTGCCCGGCCAACTATATGGTTGGCGGGTATGCAGCTTTCTTCCCAAGCCTCCGCAGGAGGAGAGCAATCCCCGCAGAGACTTAGGAAGGAAGCTGCACGCAGCTTCCCTCCCAAGCCTCTGCATCTGCTAAAGAAGGCCCTGTTCCTGGTCGTTGTCCTCTTCCTGCTTCCTGGCGAAAGGCGGCATGCAGCCTTCCTGGGCTCCCTTCTGGAGCACCCCAACACCGGAGAGCATATCCGCCAGCATATTTTCCTGCTTGATCGCCGCCACCACGCCAGGGATCGGGGCAGTGGGGGTGGCAGAGGACATTTTCCACACACCCCTTGTTTTGTAGTTGCCGGGGGGCGCCGGAGGGATCTTTGCACCATGGCACCAGATGTGCTTAAAATGGCCCTGAGGATAAAGTTGCCATTCTGTCAAGGTACATAAAGAGCACAATGCAGGACCTATCTATTCTTTTCCAAGACCACCTTTCCAAGACCTACCCCTGACTGTTAGGTCCAGTCGCAGACGACTCTGTGGTTGTGTGCTCATCTCGCTCTATAGGCCGAGGGAGCCGGCGTTTGTCCGCAGACAGCTTCCGGGTCATGTGGCCAGCATGACTAAGCCGCTTCTGGCAAACCAGAGCAGCACACGGAAACGCCGTTTACCTTCCCACCGGAGTGGTACCTATTTATCTACTTGCATTTGACATGCTTTCGAAGTGCTAGGTGGGCAGGAGCAGAGACCGAACAATGGGAGCTCACCCTGTTGCGGGGATTCGAACTGACAACCTTCCGATCGGCAAGCCCTAGGCTCTGTGGTTTAGACCACAGCACCACCCGCGTCTCCTTTATGATTTAGGAATATGTTACTCAGCTTTTGTGATTCATTTTTTTATATTTAGAAACTTCTCACCTCTTAAAGCTAATAGCTGGCATTCAAATATTGGAAGCTGTCCAAAATGTAAGTCAATGCAATGATAAAAGCCTTCAAAGATGAAGGAAAAAACCATACTGAAATGCACCAAGAAAATAAGCCAAAATGGTTCGCTGGATCGTTTGATGTATCTGTTATTGTAGGATTACAGACACAGAGAAAACAATGCCAGAAAATGCAGGCTTGGGTTCAGAAGCCCAGCCGCCCATGCCTAACAGTTTGGAACTCAGATGAACTGGTGCACACTTCCAAGTGAATTCCTGTTCAAATCTTACAAGAGGAATCCATTCTGTCCAATTCAATACAAAATGAAACTTAGCACCACAGATTTGGTCTTTGCTCTTTCTTCCTATACAAAGACCCAGAAATTGACAATGGGAATTTTTTCTCTGTCCCCCAACACAAGCTTACAATGTTGCTTGGCCACGATCCTAGACAGGTTTACTTGGAAGCAAGTACTTTCAAGAGCATATGCATAGAGACCTTAACAGGGCAATCCTATACTCCAAGCTAAGTGTGCATAGCAAAGTGTTTCTGGCAAACTGAGTCCTATCCCTCACTATAGCTACTGTGGCAAAGGCAGAGACTTTGGGGGGAGAGTCTACAGCCACAT